ACTATGACACCACCCTTGTAACCATTTATTAAGCTGGCTGATCATCCTAGTTTTTAGGTCCTCCCCTGTACCCTGAAGAATTGACGAAAAGACTATCTGAGCTCCAGAGCCCCTAACCACCTCTCCCAGGGCTCTGTAGTCCTTCTTTATGTTCCCCAGTCTACTACTATCTATATCCCTAGCACCCACATGTATCACCAGGAGTGGGTAATAGTCTGTGGGACTTACTAGAGCAGGAAGCCTCTCTGCAACTTCCCTGATCCACGCCCCTGGCAGGCAACACACCTCGAGACCAGGTCAGGCTGACAGACGAGTGCTTCTGTCCCTTTCAAAGTAGAGTCCCCTACTACTACTACCCACCACTTTCTCCTAGCAGCACCAGTAGAGATCTTCTTTACCAGTGCATCAGCCAGCTGTTTCTGGTGCAAGTGCGTTTCCTCATTAGCCTCCTGCAGGACAGCAAAGCGGTTCTGCGTGGGGACAACAGATTTAGGAGGAAGACCCTTGCCTTTAATTGTCCTTTTCCTCCTTTTTTTGTTGTGTGTTTTTTTGTTGTTTTGGGGTTGTTTTTTTTTTTGTTTTGTTGTTTTTTTTTTTTTTTGTCACTAATTCCCAGCTTCCCGGGTTAACGGCCTCCTTTCCTTCATGAGCTAGAGGGGAAGCTTGAGGTCCCTGCACAGTTTGGGCCGGGAGCAAGCATTCCTGCTTCCTCCCAGCTTCCCTGACATCTCGCAGCCTATTAACAGCATCCCGCAGCTCAGCCCCTGCTGCAGGAGGACCTCCACCAGGGAGCACCGAGTGCAGCCCTGCCCATTGTGCACCCTCCCCTCACCAGACCAGTGCAGGCACTCTCCTCTCTACACCCCGAGCTCTGCACTGCAGCCTCCCCTCTCATCGGCTCTGTCTGGGTGCCTATGCTGGCCACCGCCGGGGCAGCCAGAGCAGAGCTCCAAGACCGGTGCCTGGTCATACGACAAGTGCTCATCCCGCCCGCCCGCGCGAACTGCCGCGCAAGCTCCCTCGACCCGCCTTCTTTACCCGCCCTATTTGCCCGCTCTGTTCGCCGCGCTCCCTGGGGCAGGCTTTTACCCACTCAGGGCTGGTGCCGCTGCTTCGGGCTCCGCCCCGTGTGCGCCTCTGCTCGCTCTCGTCAGCTGAGCTGCCGGCTCCTGGGCAGGTCCTGTCGAGGACTTGAGGCTCCCTCGGTGGCTCTCGCCGCTCTGAGTTGAGGCTCCTGGACGCTGATCTCCCCCCGGCTCCGCTGTTGAAGGCGTCCTCTCTCGAGCTACTCACCTCAGCAATTCTAAGAAGGCAACAAGTATTAGAGTTGCAAAAGTAGTAGGAGAATATTTTAAAGAGGAACGATTTGGTTAGGTAAAGCTTTCCAGAAGTGAGAAACACAGAAAATCTGTGGTGAAAGAACCTCAGCTTGTGAATTTTAGAGTCAAACTAGTGAAAGCCTTTAACAGAGCAGCTCCTTGAACAGCTGAGACACTCCCTCATGCTCCTGGCAGAGGGAGATAAAACTTCCACTCTGTCTCATATTCTTCAATCTGGGAGTTGCTTCTTTCAGCAAAGGAGTCCATTTCTCCCCTTCACTACTCCAGGCTCAAGAATTCCTTCAACAAAGGAACGTATCTATAGAATACTGCCCCTCTCCTGTTTCTTTGGGTCAGATACTTGGAAATGCTGCTTTCAGTGCCTTTTCTCAAAAATATGCGCACTAGTTCTGAATTCTCTAAATCCATTTTATTTTTCTAACACAAGCTGTTGCTGAGTCATATACTATTTTCCAGGTATAGCATATACTATTTGACAGAGAAAGGCATAGATACTGAGAAAAACCTTAAAATTTGGTGCGTTGTCTGGCTTTCCATTAGAAAACCTTTAAGAGTGTCCATTCTGAAAAAAACTCTGAAAGCACCTAACCTACTTAGTAAATATGCTCTGTTTAAGAAGAACAGGATGGAAAAAGTAATAGTTTAATAGAGAAAAAAAAAACAACAGTGACCTAGAACCCAGCATGCCTCTGAAGGTAGAAAATAATATCATCTTAGCTGACTCCATTCTCCACCAAAATGATAGGGATTTTTGCCAGATCTGGAAACTAACATCACAGGATATAAAGATTTAAGTGACCTGGTCTTCGTAGCTTCGTAGCAGAAGGATGAAGGAGGTGAGGATGCTTTAAACAAGATCTGAAGAATTCTCCCCTTTGAGTCACTAGGATTGAAAGATTTTGTGAGTTAGGGGCCAGAATTAGCTGGTCAGACCCTAAATCAGGACTATTCAAGCGGTGGCTCCAGCAACAGCTGCAAGGCAAACCAATTTTGCTTAGGCTTTGCCGAAGAGTTGTGCAAGAATAAAGGGTAGCTAGCTTCAAGGATCAACTGGGAATAGCAACTATGAGCACTTTCTCTTCTTCATGTGCACAGGCACATTCAAGGTTGGAGACAGTCTCATTAGAAATTGTGGAATTCTGCCTATAGACTTCAAGGCAAGGGCTGCTCAGGATCTGGTCCCAAGATGTTCTGTTCTACTTTATAATGTTAGGATCCATTCTGAGTCTTTAAGAAAATTGGCACTGCCATTGCTACAGCAGACACAGAGCTGCCTTGTCAAGGCTGGCCTGCTGAGGTGTTCAGTCAGCAGGAGGGGAAACACCTCTTGGCCCTGTGTAAGAGTAGAGAAGTACATGATTCAGTATTGCTTTATGGGGGTGGTTAAAGGACTTAATAACAAGACTCGAAGGATTCGCAGTGAGGCTACAAGAGGTCAAAAGTGTGTGTAAGTCAGGAATCATTACAACCTAGAAGCAAAAAAACAAGACCTTAGGAACACAGCTTCCTTAGGAATATCCACCATTTAGACTCTCTTCTTAATTTGTCTTGAAGAGAGATGAAGACAGTTGGAAACAGCTCTGCTGAGCTCTTCATGAGATTCTGCCTGTGTTGTGCTCTTGTGAGACCCCACTTGGAGTATTGCGTTCCGGTTTCCTCAACATAAAAAGGACATGGAACTGTTGGAACAAGTCCAGAGGAGGCCACAGGGGCTGGAGCACCTCCTGTATGAAGATAGGTTGAGAAAGTTGGAACTGTTCAGCCTGGAGAAGAGAAGCTGTGTGGAGACCTCATAGCAGCCTTCCAGCAGCTGAAGGGGGCCTATAAGGATGCTGGAGAGGGACTCTTCTCCAGGGACTGTAGTGATAGGACAAGGGTTAACAGGTTAAAACTTAAGCAGGGGAAGTTCAGGTTAGATAAGGTTAGATAAGGAAGAAGTTCTTTACTGTGGAGGTGGTGAGGCACTGGAATGGGTTGCCCAGTGAGGTTGTGAATGCTCCATCCCTGGCATTGTTCAAGACCAGGTTGGACGAGGCCTTGGGTGACATGGTTTAGTGTGAGGTGTCCCTGTCCATGGCAGGGGGGTTGGAGCCAGATGATCTTAAGGTCCTTTCCAACCCTAACTATGCTATGATTCTATGATGTTGGGGTTTGGCCTTATAGTGTAAAGCAGTTAGAATGTATTTCTACTCCCCTTCCTGCCAAATCTGGTTCTGCAGGCTGGTGCTGTTGGAACCGTGATACCTTGTGTAAAAGAATTAGCATACTGGGAACAGAAAGGTTAACCTCTTCAAATTTCACAATGACTCTAAAAATGACCAGCCTCCCTTCTAACATTTGAAAACAAAAGATCCCAAGAAAAATGCAAACGCTGTGATGAGTAGCAAACAGTAAAAGGTAAACACCAGGGTTTGTTTTGCATTAAGGCCAACTTTTTTGTAGTTTCTGTGACCACACCGAGGTCTCACGATGACTGGCTGGACTTACACTGGATTTACTTCCTAACATTGCAAACTCCTGTTATATGCAATTTAGAACATAGAAATAATTGGCATAAGTAATGCTGGAATGTTACATACTGCTAAGCTAGAAAATAAGAAAGGGAAGAACAGAAAGCCTCTTTTTGCTGCAATTTTCATAGTCTGTTGCTACTATTACTTCTGTGTTGTATATGAAAGCTGTTTCATTCCCAGGTGACATTCATGGAAAGGTCATGCTGTCCTCAGCTTCACACCTGAATAAAACTCAGTTTCTTCCACTGTATGTGATGTCAGAACTGATGCTTACTGAGGCAATGCATTCACCAGTGAAAAGAGATCAAAATAAAGCAGTTTCAGTGCAAGTTGAACTTCTAGTTTCAAGCAGGATAACATGGAGGCAGAAAGTTGAAAAGGTGAGCTCTGCCATGTCCTCTCTCACCTGAGAGGAGGGATGTCTGCTCTGGTTCAGACATCCCACAGTGCAGCCCTGCAAGCATATTCTTAGTGTAAACAGGGAATCAAGTCCCCTGCCATCAACAAGCCAGTGATTTTAGGCTTCTGCAACTATGGGGGAATTTCTCTAGGTGGAGAGGGGTGAAAATGAGGGCAGATTCTGGTCCAATTAGCCCTGTCTGAAACCAGGCCTTCAGTATTCCAATCTAACTACATAGTAAAATCCTTCAGTGCAGCCTATTGCAAATGCATAACACGCTGCAGAAATGATACTGGGCATGCCTGCCAGGAGCCTTGAGGCAGGTGCTCTCTCCCATTTACCACAGCACTGCATCGTCTTGGCTGAATCATGTCATTGCCAGTATATACAGATACACTAAAATGCGTCAAAGCTCCCACAGCAGAGACACTGAAATGCATAACCTGATTTACCGTCTCTTCGGTGTACGGAGGGGGAGAATAGGCAGTCTACACACACACAGACACCCACACAGACACGCGCGCCTGCGCATGCACAGCCCAAGGGGGGTAAGTCCAGCCCCCAGCAGTGGGACCATCCTTCTGCTGCTGGATTTTTCCAGCTGGAGCATCTTGCCGGCTCTGCTGTAATTTATGGAAATTGGTTTCTGACGTGGGGCTTTTTCTGTTACGACAGGGACCCACGGACTGGAAGAGGAAGAGCTGCAGTCAGGGAAGGAAAAGAGAAGGAGGAAAAGAGGTGGGGGAGGGGGCAGAGGGACAGCGAAGGAGTGAAGAGGGCAGAAGGATAAAAAGGTACAGAGACACTTCAGAGATGTGTGAGTTATAATTAAGAGAGCCAGAAGAAAGGCAGAGAAAGGGGGAGGAGAGCTATAGGGAAGGGAAGGGAAAGGTGCTCAGAGACTGAGTCAGCCTTAAGAAGGCAAACACCAGAAGACAAGTTCAGGGAATACCTCAATATACCAAGAAGGACCTGTTCTGTCTGAATCTTCACCATGAGCACAAGGAAGGGCTGCCCTCTGCCACTGGGACAAGGAAACCGGGAGGAAAAGCATAGTGAGGGTACTTCTGACCTGGAGCGACAGGAGTGTGAGGTGGAGCTGAGGAACAAAGCTATTCTGCAGCAGAAGAGGCGCCTTAAACAGGCTACCCAGTTCGTGCACAAGGACTCTGCTGACCTGCTGCCCCTGGATGGCTTGACAAGGCTTGGCACCTCCAAGGATCTGGTAAGTCCAGCGGGACTCCGTCGGAGAGGCATCGTCCTAATAGCCTTCATCCCAGCTGGGAACTGCTATGGGGAGGAGGCACGGGAGTGAGGCCTGTGGCCATCTCCTTGTGGAGGTATGGATCAGGAGGCACCGGGGGAGGGGTGCTGTTCCGGGAGCTGGGGCAGTCCATGGTCCCGTGGCACTTCCCCAAGGCCTGGGAGCAGTTTCCACAGTACCTTTTGCCAGCTTAACTGTGCTTTTGCTGGGTTAACTGCACGCATCTCCCCCTTGCTGTGGCAGTTTTGCTGTCTAACGTCTATCCACTGTGGAGTTTAACTGCTCAAGGATGTGGAAGTCTAAACCACTTTTCCAAAAGAGAGCCTAGGTCCGGCCAGCGATGAGGGCAAAGCCCAGCTGTGCCAGTGTATATCATAAAAGAACTTGCCCCTCTCTGCAGCCCGTGCTTCCCCCGTATCCTCAGACCATTACAGCAACAGCCATGCTTGCTCATCTCTGTGTATCCCCTGGTTGTTTTCAGACAGCTGTGGCAGGCCACATGGCTGCCGGCAGCTAGGTGCTGCTGTGCATGGGAGTACACGTGCACGGGACAGGCAGGGTCCCAGGCGCTGGGCCTAGATGGAAGCTATCCTCCTTGCTGAAACCTTCGGGTGCAGTGGCTCTGCTGTGCACAGACAAGGGGTCAGTGCCATGTTCCTGTGCTGGCACACCTACCTGCTCCCACCACCCTCCCCACAGCCACCTGCAAGTCCCACAACCGGCAGGGTCAAGGGTGGCTCCTTTAAGTCACCCTGAGCTGCTGCCTCATCTCTGCCAGCCCTCAGCAGCTGCACATGGCGGTCAGCAAGAAGTAGTCTTGAGCGTCCCTCTGGCCCTGAACACAACTAAGCCTATGTCTTGTGCTGTCTGAAGTACAAGAGGGGGGTCACATAAGTGTTGTGTTAGCAGGGAACAGGACCTTCCACGGGGAGGGTGGTCGGGCCACACCAGAGCCTGAGGGCCTTGGTCAGGCTGGCAGCATGGGCAGGCTGGCTCTGGCCTTACATGTCCTACTGCATTGCAGCTGAAACATCTCCTCAGGAGGGGATAGCCAGGCATACCCCCTTCTACAGCTTTCATCAGGGGATGGGGAGGAGACACTTCTGAGTCTTTGAGTGTTTGCTGAGCCCACGCACAAAGGCAGAAAAACATGTCTACATGCTTTGCTTTGCAATTGACTCACACCATGCCCCAAAATGACAGCTGTGGGGCCAGCCAAAGACTGTGAGAATCCTGCACAGTATGGGTGGCGGTCTCCACAGGCTGGCACTCAGAATCCCTAAATGCTTGCTCTAGCAAGACAGGCCTTGTCCAAATCACTTGCCATTAGCAGCAATTGTCATTTGACCTCCTGGTCAAATTAAGCGTTCTAGCCAGGAGATTTCCTTGCATGCACAGACAGCTTTCTGTCACTGAAAAACTCTGCATAGTTCATGTTTGATCCATAACAGAATGGCTGAAACATTTTTAGCATGGAGCTAAGGAGCAGTGAATAAAGCATAACATCCTTTCTGCCATGGCACTTTTGTGCTGCTGTTAAAAGGCAGCAAATAAAGTGTGGTACCCGTGCAAAGTTTGCACACACCATGCGATGCCTGAGGTCAATGAGGTAACTGCGGTACCTCTGTTTCTGGTTCACTTTGGGGCAAGAGAAGTACCAGGCCTTTGATTTCCAAGACCAATTTAGAAGTCCCTGAAACTTGATGGTCACTGTGATACTGCTGTGATGTTTTGGGGGTTAGAGTCCCAGATATACTTTTGGGCACTTCTCCAGCCCCAGGTAAAACTCCATCTATGTGCCCTAAATTGATCTGACTCCCTCCTGGAGGACAGGAATGCAGGGCTGAAAACAAAGCAGCTGGAGAGATTGATCTTGGAGAGAGTGCAAAACATAAAACATCACAGACTCCTATGGCACTTATACTGGGAGGAGAGTTTAATTAATTCACCAAAACAGGTATCCATTGACAATGCAGAGACTACAGCTGTGGCAGGCCCGTGTGTCCTAATATTAGAGCAAAGTCCCATGTCATTTGAAAGCTACATGTTTTCTTACACACCCAAAGTCAGGCTGTTACTTTTTGCCACTCTTTTCTGTGCTGGTATATTCTGGGTATTCATTCAGCCTGTGCAATGTGCCCAACAGTGTCTGGCATTTGATAGGCCCACCCAATCTCCAATAATGAGTAATTATACATTTCAGTGGAAACTTCACATTTCCAGTTTCGTAACAACTACATGCATGACACGTGTTTTTTTTTTTTTTAATGTAAAAGAACAAATAGCTGCATGAGCTAAAATATTCTGAAAGTCTGAAGACCTGACTTTTCCTTTTCCCAAAGGCAAGATCCCCAGCTCGTGCCACTTCACTAGTCATAGCAAAGCCTTGAGATTTCACACTGAAGAGCCTCAATGGGATGAGCTGTACTTGAGAATCTGCTCTGACCCTTCTAAGTGTCCTGAGAGGGCCTGCCTTTCAGATGCTGGCCACAATCCCCTTCAGGTCCTCTCCTTCCTCTTCATCTCACTGTTTCTTACCAACCGAAGAGAGACAATGGTCTCCACTTTTCTGTCCCACCAGTGAGACAGAAGACAGGAAGGGCCCCAGGAGTCTGTTCTTGAATCAGATGCACCAACAATCCCAAAACTCAGCTACTCCCCATCAGTGCTTGCCTCTTCCCAGCCTGAGTGACAAGAAGGGGATAGATGTGGCAGATGCAAAGGCCTGCTCTTTCTGTGGGAAAGGTTGCAGGGAGAAGGAAAGGTCCTTTGCATACTGTAGAGTGAGAGGAGACAGGAGGGAGGATGGGAATTTGGAGACCTGCTGTCAGTTTCCTGCCCTTTCCCATGGCCCAGATGTTAGCTGGCAGCCAAACTGGTACTGTGCTTGGAGTATTTAGGGAGTGAACTATGCTGTGGGCTTGCACAGTTGGCTAGGAAAAGACCAGGAACAGAGAGATATTTTTATGTCACTTTTTCAACTACTGCAGTGTTTTTCATGCAGTGTGTCATTTGCCCCTCGAGTGAAAGGGAAACAGAGGCATGAGGGACTTGGCACTCTGCAAAGAGCAATGCTGAGTGCAATCAAAGAGCCAGTAACAGCTCTCCTGCTCCAACCATTGGGCAAAACTGACAAGTTAGTGTGCTTTGAGTTGCAATTTACACAATTCCCTGGCTTCAGCTCTCTGACCTAGCATAAAGCTACACTGAAGCACACACACACTGTAGGGTTAATACAGCCCAGTTTATTGGCAGGTCTGCTCTAATTCAGATGTTTGGCCTGCACATTGCTAAGGTCATACATCAAACTGATGCACCATCTGGAAGTTGATTTTTGTAAAGCTGCCTCCAACAGGACTACTTCATTGATACTGCTTATTGTTGCCTGTGCAGGGGCAGGCTCTGCAATGTCAATATTGGGCGAGAAATAGGGCATCAAGCTGATAACAAAGGGAGCTTTCGTTCCAAAGCCACACTTTTCCTGGTGTGTATGCAATATTGGGACATGAATACTTTCACAATATTTCTTCCTTTTTGGTGCACCTCCCTTATTCTGCCCAGAAAAAAGGAGACAGGAATGAGGAATACAAGATACTTGAGATATGACTGAGATACATGAGATGTAAATGAAGTTCCTTCAATCATTGACCTGGCTGATGATGTTCCCTTCTAGCTGTGAAAAACATAGGGCTTCATAGATGCTCCTCCAACTGGGGAGCCAAAATAGTATGACTTCTGATGGAGGGGAACAAAGACAGATGCCAAAGAACATTAGAAGTTAGTTTTAAGTTCCTATGCAGTGAAAGCTTCCCGCTTTACTACCAATAATTGCTTGTGCACCTAAAATTTCTGGAATCCTGTATTCTTACCCATGTGTTCATCATACATATGCTGTGTCCCCTATCCCCTCCCATATTAGAAGGTGTGAGTGTGCCTGGTTGGATGTCAGCACACACACATCAGGTAATGTATTGCAGTACCTGAACACGTATGAGACTGCTGTGTGCATGTTTAGCTGAAGGAACAGATATGTGTGGGGACAGCATCATGTTCTTCTCCAGTAATTGCATCCCAGAGATCTGCCTGTCACAAGAATCCCAACACTTTAACATCATCTTAGCAGTTACAGAAACAATCTTGGGATTTAAAGAAATCTTTTTTTGGGATAAGCCTGTCTTTCATCAAAAAAGGTCAAACATTTGCAGTCTTCTTCCCTGGCCTAGCAAATGTCCTTGTCCTTAGAGCCATACTTAGCTGGAATTTCTCTTTCTTTGTGATGGAGACAGCAGCCACATAGTGTGGTCCAGCGGCGGCTCCTGGAAGGCAATCTGAACAAGCTGCGGGGCGAGACCAGGGTTCAGTCTGCATGGGTTCAATCTCCACTGGCAAAAGACCATGAAGAAAAGATGGAAAAGAGTGAGGATAAGAGAAAAGAGACTTCATCCCTGCTAGTACAGTGCCAGGTAAGGCAATAACTTGGTGCTGCTTATTCCACAGTTATGGCAAATGTTCTATGAATTCCAGCTGCCCCACTCCCAGGGGCCATGCTAAGTTATTAAATGCAAAGCCAGCTGCAGCCAGAGAGATAATATTTCCTGCACAGCCTTTCCTAGAGCTTGGATTCAATTCTTCCAGCAGACAGAGGAAAGCCTTTCTGCCACATGCATTCTAGTTGTCCCTATTTGAAGATAAATTACCCTAATCACACCTCCTTCCTTTGGAGGACAGCTTTCCCATGACGTGAGATATTTCATAACTGCATACAGAAGCAACAAATGTCTCCTTATCACTTTGAGACAGATGCACCTAATTGATTTACATTTACTGGATACAGTCTGGTCTGATTCTCTTCGGTGTCAAAGGACCTCCTAAGAAAGTAGGTAAATGTGCTCTGAATTAGCACTATGGCATTTCTTTATGGAAGCAGTATTTTTAGATCCCTTCTCTTCTTATATCCTCCTATACAGCAGAACACACTACTCCCTGGCCCCTGTAGTTAAGAAAGCACATCCAAAAGCTGTGCCCCATGAAAGAGGGATCCATGGTTAGAGTTGTTCAGCAATATGCAGATAAAAGACTCACCAATATACAGACCAGGTATGCAAAATCAATTTTAAAGCTGTGTTTATTTCAGTTGCCTTTCATTAGCAAATGAAGGTGTTTCTTTTTCTTTAATCACCACTCTGTATTGTTCTGTAAGAGGAAACTCACTGATAAAGGATGCTATTTTGCCAGGCATGTACATTGAACAAGGACAAGCATGCACAGGTATTGTATCCCAGCTAAGTTAGTGTCAGAGTCCACTACTCATTCCCCTTTTGTGTTTCTAACAGACTGTACTCCTGCTGACATACACATTAACCACCCTTCGTGGAGGAAGGTTAACAAACATCACAGCCAAGGAAACAGGTCTAACGCTGCACTTAACTCTCCCTGATCTTAGTATCTTCTGCACAGGCATTTCTCTCTTTTTCTGTCCTTCTAAGAGCCAATCATTGTTTGCCCCACTTAATCTTCTTACATTGAAGGAAGGGAAGCTCTCTTCCCCTCCTTTTTAGTCTTGCTGCTTTTCATGTTCACATTCTTGAACTCCAAAAAGAAGTAACAGATCTATGGCAGGAAGTAGGACTCAGGCTGCCAGTTCATTTTAACCAGAAAGGTGAGGTGGCAGCTGTTGGAGAACTGCTTGACTATGGTGTAGTTTTTATTAGAAATGGAACACAACCCTAGTGAAATCTCTTGTCTCTGACAGCATATCCTGAGAAAAGAACATCTACCAGCATAGAGCTTCCACTTACACTCAGGCAAGTACCCTGAAAATTTCAAAGTGGTAACAAATGCATCACCTGACTACTAACTGAACTTGACTGAGTAATAAAGCTGAAGATATGTAGACTTCAGTGATACATGGAAATTCAGGCAATAAGTGTTTTACCTCTAATAGGGTACAGTTGCCCTGTACCTAAGGCCTTTTTAAGTTTCAGAGACCACAGACAAACCCAGTCTCTAAGTGTTGTAATACAGTCACTCACCCTCCTATTTAATTAGCAGATTAATTAGCCAATCTGACTTCAGCAGATTTGCCCCTTTTAGTTGCAGTTTTTGCAAAGCACTTTGGAAAGCTTGTCATGAATGGCATCTGCATCATAAAACCAAGCTGTTATTTTTTGTGTGGTGTCTCTCATTGACTTGGAAATAGATGCTGAAAGATTTCACTGCTGTCCAAGGCTGATTTCCTCTGTGACAAAGCAATCTGCGATCAACCTTGGGTCGTTAAAGCAGCTTCTTGACTTTGGAATTTGACTTTCAGAAAACAAAGCTCTTTACATTTCTTACTGATTCCTCTCCCCTCTTTCTCTTTTTTTGTAAATCCCTATAATTGACCCTTAGATAAATATTATTGGCGACTGATAGTAATAGACCGAAAATCTTGGGGCAGAGATGAGAGTGTGTAACGTGATGAAAAGTCCCCTTAGTTCACTGAGGCTTGCAGTGCTCATCAGCTGCCCGTGTACTCCATACCTAATCTGCATTGTATTTGTGTTACACTGGACCAAGGACTCCCCTAAGGTTCCTGGTGGGTTGTCTGGACAAATGGTTAGTGGTATAATTGAAAAGTAGATAGCTTTTGTGAGGCTGTTGGAGCTGGTAACTGTGCAGGCCTGTTTACCACTGCATGAGATTCTATTTTCTACAGAATAATCACTGTCCTGTTATATCCTAGCAAATTTCTAACTTGCAATTTTCCCAGCCTGCTCTGAAGCAAACCTCAAGCATCTGCCTAGTGATAGTTTCAGTTTATTATCACAACAATGCTTCTCAGATCTGCCTGCTCCCAAAGTGATTCTTTAGCAATTGCTATCCATATTCCAGGTCTTCTGTTTCTGAAGAGCTAATACAGTGCCTTTTCTGTAGCTGAGCGATGAACAGCTGGCTTCTGTGAGCCACAGGGGTGTTAACTCTTTCCTAGTAGAATCCATGTCTGTTAATGAGGAAGAGCTGATTTACTTGGACACTGTTGTCAGGCTGCAGTCTGGGCAGATGTGATAGCATACCTGACCTGACACTCAAGGCTGGTATACCTGCTTAGATAGCGAGGAGGCACAGGGAAGCACAATACAGAGGATGAGGATACTGATACTTAGCATGTATCTGCACTTTGAGCTTTATCATGTCTTTCTGCTTAGTCTTGCCACAATCCTTCAAGGCAGGGCTGATGTGGCAGTGAGAACCAGACAGCACAAGACATAGAATCATAGAACGGTTAGGGTTAGAAAGGATCTTAAGATCATTTAGTTCCAATCCTCTTGATTGAAAAACTGCTAAGTTGAAGTTTCTAATAACAGGTAAGTGTCTGGGCAATGAAATAGAAAATAAAAAAGACAAATTCAAAAAGAAGCCTTTGGCAGAGGTTGCAGAGCACTTGGGAGACCACCATTGCCTTGGATGAGTCTCCTGACCACTGCCTGAAACAGTACATATTTGGCTATGTTGCTAAGGAAGGTCTAAGGGATTGTCACACCGTTGGAGGAGTAGATATGACAATTTTGAGCCCACAGTAATTATCTGTTATTGTTTTTCCTAGTGCCAAGGTCAGGTATTGAAAGCGACTGTTAACACTGGGTGTCTACCAAATTTCATCTCCAAGAGCTGCTTAAACCAGCTGGGGTAAGTCTTTGTGCAGCAGAAAAGGAGGGGTAGCTAATAGAAAATCTGTGGCAAGAACTGAGGCACTCTTGATTCCCAGCCCCAGTGATAATTACTAGCCGTTTTGTATGTGCACATGGCTGTTTTAGGAGAAGATACAGAGGGTGGGCTACAGAGCAAGGTATCAGGAGCACTGACAAAGTTGTGTGCAGATCTCAGAGCTGTGTCATTCTGTGTGTGTGTACTGCAGGGCAAAGCTGCGCAGCTAATGGTTAGCCTCACTGATGAGGAACCCAAATGGACAGCACCTTATGGAGTATGCCTCCAGACATGCTGTATGAAAAAGATTCCTCCTCTTATGGGCCTGCTCCCATTAAGACCATCAGTGAGGAGTCCTGCTTTTCCTCCTTTTCCTCCACTTGAGGAAATAACACCTCTTGTGTCCCACAGGCTGGAAGAAGTGCCTGCCATGGACTGTGGAGATCTCTCTCTACCCATCCCCAGCGTTGTTGGCCGAGTAGAACATATGGAGTTGCAATTTGGCCAGGAGACAGTGCTGTGTTCAGCACTGGTTGTAGGTGAGAGTGTCAGCCCCTCCTCTTCCCCAGTTTTCCTGTGTCCCTCTTGCCCCACCAAAGCCATTTTAAAGGATCTCTGGGGGAAAAACGTAATGCAGTGGGAGGCTGGTGATGCAGTCACCTCCACTGCTGGCCAAGATCATTAAGCCCTGTGAATACCCTCAATATAACAAAAAGCAAAGAGCATAGGAAGAGTACAGAGAAGACAGAAGATGTTGAAATTGGAGAGAAATTAGGTGGTTTTTGGTCTTAACACATGTGTAACATGGAAAATTCTCATTTCCTTCTGAAATGGACCTTTCTTACAATTATCCAGACTGCTTGATTAGTCCTCTGGTGCCCTGTGTTCTCCCGCTGAATAGACTTGTGTCTTTGGCTGGATGGAAGTCATCAGAGAAACTGACGGAGGGTACAGCTAATTCCCCAGAGTTTTTGTCTGTGTACTCATCTGCCTCTGCTGCAGGGAGCACCCTGGAAGAACCTGGTAGCCCCAGAGTGCTGAGTCTCCCTTGGTGTCCGAAGGCAGGACTATTTGAAGGAAGGAGCCATAGGAAACAAGATCAAGTCATAGGCACTGGAGCATGCCCAGAAAACAGCAAAAATGCTGCATGTTACGCATTTACATCATGCTATGCATATGCTGAAAACAACTTTTAGTCATCTTTTTTCCCCTGTTCTTTCTCCCTATTAGTCTTCCAGCTTCACCCTCTTGCCTTTACCTGTTTACTTATCTTTCATGAGTACTGCTCATCTTCCAAGGCCTCCCTTGCTTCCTGTCCTCTTTTCATATCCATTCTTCCCACTTTCCTAGACATCTAGAAAGAGCTTCTTCCTCTTTCACACTCCAGCTCACTCTTCTTCTCTGGTTTCCCCTCTATTTGTTCTTGTATTAGTACCAGCACAGATGAATTTAGCCTTGTAGCACCTATCATGTTTTTCTGCGATGTGGAAATGGCTGCTGGAAGTAACAAAATTGCTGTATCTGTGCCTTGCATCTCCCTGTGCACACTGTGCTCCTGCATATGTGGTTATAAATAAATTAGAAAATACAGCCACTGGTTACAGGGCAAGCAGGCATCCCGGAGACAAGGGAAGTATTAATGATGTTACTGGTGGCTGCTGAATACTGCAGACTCCGGGACTTGGGTATTCCTCCTTCCCTGCCATTGAAGTCCAGATGATTGACTGTAAGACCTAGGAGGCCACTCTCAGCAATCAACAGCCTAACATGTGTTCGTAGTGCTAGGTTCAGACAATAGGAAAGCTGAACGTATATGCCAGAGAGGCACATACTGAGAGGACACAGACAAGGCCAGCCACAGAGATTACCACAGAGTAGTGCCTTTATCAGCACTCACATAAACACCAGCACAATAGCCCAGTCCTGGTATTCCTCTCTAGATGACCAGGACTGAGGTTCACTAGCAGAAGCTCACACATCCTTAGTCCCTAGATTCACACGCACACTCATATTTACAGAGTCTTCAAATAACAGTACAGCTTTTACGTCTGTCTTATACTCATGTCAGGACCGTAGCCCCTTAGCTAGCCACTGACCCACGCCTTAAGTCTTTCCAGATGCAGTTTTCCTCCTACTCACTGGCTAGATCAGATTGAAGATTGCTAGCTAATTACATATACAAAACCACAAGCATATAGGATTAAACTCACTTGGGAAATATAAACACACCCAAGTGTTTCTAGTTTGTGGCATTTAGACCTCTGGAACGTATGTCCTCTTCTCTTCAGGTCCTGGCTTATAAACCTAAGGCCACTGTGACCCTGGTCAGAGCTGGTACCCAGATCTCTCTCGCATGCTTGATTTCTCCAGTTGCTGGCACCTAGACCTAAAGCTCTGTGACCCGTAATCTTCCTCCAGTTTCTGGAATTTTGACTTTGCAACACACAAGTGCAGGCTCTCCAGTTGCTGGGGTCCAGGTGTATAAGCCCTATAGCCTGTGCTTCCTGCCCCAGTTATTGGCACCCAGGCTTCTCTCATACACTGGTCTAACTGCTGGCACCTGTGGAGTGCATCCTCTTCCCCAGTTCCTGACACACCCCTATGAGCCCTATGGCCCATGGTCCCTTCAGTTACTGGCACCTCTCTTGCATACCAGTCCCTCTGGTTCCTGACATCTACAGCTATTTGCCCTTTAACCTGTGGCATCTTCTACACTTGCTGACACTTGAGACTTGCAGCAGTCACATATAGGATAGAGAGGGTACGGAGAAAAAAATTACTTAATGAAATTAGTCAATAAGAAGATCAGACAGATTGCGGTCATCAGGCACAGGGGTCAGTCAGACAAGGGAATTGACCAACAGCCTACTTGCATGTGACTGGCCCCGTTATCCCCTCTCCTCTCCATTTTTCCACGCTTGTTCTTCCCTGATCCATCCTGCTGCTTGCCTTCTCCTGCCTTTGACCCTTCCCCTAAACAGCCCATAGTAAGTTTTACACAATCCCACAAGCTCCCTCAAATATCTCATAGTATAATCATGATAACCATGGCTCCCTCCTTGTATCAGCTACAGAGTTCATTTTGACCCTTTTCAAGGCAGTGTCTAAGTAGCTCCTTTAGCGGCTCATCAGTCAGTGACAGAAGAGTGCTGGTCTTTTTAATTGTCAGTGTTACCATCTGCTTGTTAATATTTGTATGTTTAATTCATCAGTTTCCTTGTTATTTATTTACTTTATACTGGATAGACCATAACAATATAACTTTATGAACCAGGTGCCACACCATCTTACGGGAGACACACTTCCTTTAGAGGGCAGCATATATAGCCTTAAGCCTGATCAGTCTCTTCTCTCTTCTCAGATGATGAAATGCTCGAGTTTTGCATTGGTCTCCAGACTCTGTTGTCTCTCAAGGTAAGGAATATTTTCTTACTGTAGGGCTCCTCTCAAGAAGTTCTACAAGATTTTGTTGCTGTAAGCATCAGAAATACTTATGACCAGGTCTGCCAGGTTGCCACTTGCAATGCTTGTTGCACAGCTGCCTGGTTGCAGGATGCTCTGAGCCACTGACTCCTTTCCAGTCCTTCTTAAAGGTTTTAAGAAAGGAATCATCCAACAGGGTACTATCACATCTCCCATTCTTTGTATTGCTGACCATACAAGTTGCAAACAGGAAGAGGAAATTGGAGACAAGAAAAGTCAAGGCACAGTTACAGCTGCATTGCATTTTGAAGGCAGATGTCAACAAACTGTCCTTGCTTTGAGCCAAATAAAGCTATATGATCACATTCAGGTCCAGCACTAGCTGGACATGAATAGAAAGAGTCTTCTTTTGTCAGCTCAGTTCAGTGCTCTGCTGAGCCTGACTCTTGGGGGGGCACAGAATATGGCTGCTGCAAGGTTGCTCTTGCCTGTCAAGTATTTGTAGTCATGTGTCAGACTCAGAAAGCAGGAAAAGCATTAGGCTGAATAGCTAAGTGATGTGAAGACATCACCTCAAAGGCAGTCATAGGAAGGAGTGAGGGGAATGGCCCTGTGAAGGGTTTGGAGAGGAACCCATTGAACAGAATAGGAGCAAAGACACAGCATGGGGGACAGGGTGAGGAACTGTAAAGTTTCTAAAAGCCCAAAGTGGGGTTGTTTGGTGGTTATACAGATTTTTGCCGGTCATAAGACATCATGAGATTTACTATCTGAAATGTCCAGCAAGTAACTGTCTCTCCCCTTCTTTAGTGTTGCATCGACTTGGAGGAAGGAGTCCTGAGATTTAAAGCACTGAGTCAAGAGCTGCCTTTTCTACATGCTTCTGAAGAGCCTGGTCAGTGACTGTCTGCATTCCCCATGTACGGGGCTGAGGAGACTTGCTACCCTCAGAGAGAGATGAGGGTGAGGCTCATATGCCCCTGACCTTGCTGAGTTCTAGGCTGAGGCATTCTAGGCTGAGGAGTAAGACAAAGGCGAATGGGTGCTGGAAACTCTTGCTGGGAGTGCCTCATCTTGAGCAATATCACTCCTTTCAGTGGACCCTCTTGTTTGACCCATGTGCTGAATGGCCATTTTGTTCTTGGTTTTCTACCTGTCCCTGTTCACTACAATTTCTGCTTCTGTACTAAATTCATCCTACCCTTTTAATGACTTATTTTTACAATACCCTCAATTTGTGAGACAAGAGTCTCCATGAACAATCTTCAATAGCTCTGTGGACAGGAGGACAAGCAACTTGTCCAAAAGCCTCCAAAGATCACCGTGAATGTTTCCCTTCTCTTTGCCTCAGTGTGAGCAGAGTCCACTCCCATTTATTTGTGGGAAGGGCTCTGTGGCTAGTCCCCTCACCTGTGCTCTAGGGAAGCTGGATTTTTTTTACCTTTTGCTTGCTCAGAGCAAAAAAGACGTATTTTCTCAGAAAGGCCTTGCAGCAAGAAAAAACTTTAGAGTTCTTGATTCTAAGAAACCTTTGCAGCAATGCTGAGCATAGATGCCTAGAGTACGGTGGGGGCTTGGACTTTGCCACTGCTTCCTTGGCCACTAAGCTATACTATATGAATGGCAATACTTATCATCTTTTGGTCTTTTATGTAGTACACACTTGCACACCCTCATCTTCTGACCAGGCCTCTTCTCTCTGCATTCCAGCTGCTCTACATTTCTATCACCTCTGCTGTATCATCAGAGATCCTGCCACCCAGTTTAAATGCTATATTGAATTGCAGCACCCAGTCTTCTGCTTTCTCAGATCCTTTCTTTCAACTTGAAATCTAGTGACTGGACACAGATATATATAATATATGTAAGATATAATCAGCCTCAAGTCCTGGCATCCCACTGCCCATCAAGTTTGCTACTCCTGCATGAAACAGGAACTAGACTTCCTTGCAGGTCAGAGAACTATGAACTCCTCCAGGATGAGTATGGTGGTTATTAGTCACTTATTTGTTTGGTTTAATTATTTTTCTATTCATTTGCATCCTAGAGCATAGCTGTATGATAAATACATAGTCTAGTCTTTACTAGCTCTAGGAAAGATGCAGCAGATCAGGGCTTATTCCATGCTTCATGACTACTGACTCACTATTCAAACTCTGCACAATGTCCCTTTGTCCATCCTCAGAATATCAGGACACCCCATTTTGCCTATCTTCCTGGATTAAATACCGCTGGCTCTCTTTTTTTTTTATTCAACCATAGTTTCTCTTGCGCTTCTCAAAGAACTTGTGTATGCATTTCTGTTCGTTCTTTCCAAAATCCGATGCTGTATGCTATAGTTTAACATGCTAAGGACAGCAGAGTACAGCCTGGCTGATATGATTTGGGATCCAATTGCTAGTGTTAGGTGGTGTGACTCGCTTCTGCTTCACCTACAAACAGCATCAGGCTAGTGATTTCTATCGTTAGTCATCGTATCTTGAAGCTTCTGATCTGTTCCTTGGCTTCTTTGCCATTCTTCTACTTGTGCATCTAATTATTTCTGACAGCATGAACTGATTTCCATGAATCTCCTGAATGACACCAACATCTCCCATTTATGTCAGGATATGTCTACTCAATAAGCCTGTCGTCCAAAGGAACCAGTAATTCCTCCTCTATTTGAATAACTTCCATGTCTGACTGGCTTGTTAAACCTAGGGGTCTTTCTTGACAGTACAGACTTGTACAAAAACTGTCAGCTGGAATCTATTTACAATTAAAAATGGCATATGGAACAATGGCAAATAATATGCTAAACCTGACAGATACCACATTCATTACAGCTCTTATTAACTTTCACGATTAAAAAAACAGAAAACCCTAAACCCTAATCCTAAACATTAAAGCTCACTCGACCTCTGATCCAAACCCTAAACCTAACCTTGGCCCTAAATCTATCCCCTACAGCTAACCCTAACTGTAAATTTAACCCTAAACCCAACCCTAACCACTAAACCTAACCCTAAAACTTAATGCTAACCCTAACCTCTAGTGCTAAACACTAGCCCCTAACAATAAATCATAACCCTAAACATAACCCTCTAGATCTAACCCCCAACCCCTAGCTCTAACCATCTAAAATTAACCCCCAAAGGTAAACCTAATTCTAAACACAATGCTAACTATAAACACTAACCACAAACCTAACACTAATCCCCAACCAAAAGTCTAACACTAGCTCTGTCTCTAACCACACTAACCCTGACTCTAATGACTAAACATGATCCTAGCCCTAAACCTTCACACAAACCCTAACTCCTAGTCCTAATCCCTAGCCCCTAATCCTGAATGGTAGCCATGAAGCTAACCACCTAAATCTGACACTCTCACTCCAAAACTCTAACCTCATAACCATAACTCTAATCCCAAATCTTAAACATAGCTCTAACTCCTCATCCTAAACACTAAAGCTAACCTTATCTCTAAAAGTAACCTTTAATGCAACCCCTAACATAAAACCTAACCATAGAAACTAACCCTAACACTAGCCAAAAACCTGATCATAACCACTAGTCATAACCTTGGCCTAACACTAACTCCCTATATCTAACCACATAACTCTCAGTTATTCTAATGCCCTAAACCCAATTCCCTAACCCTATCACTAATCCTAAACCAAATATTAACTCTCTTAATACTAAATTCTAACCCAAACCCCATACCTTATCCTAACCCTGTCCATAACCCTAACCATTATATCCCTAATCCTACATCTAACCCTAAACCTAACTGTAACCCCAACCACCTAACCCTAACCATATCTGATGGCTTTTGCAAGTGCCCAGAAGAGACCCTGCTTCCCTCCAGAGCATCCTAGGGCTTTTGCCTGATTTTGCTTTGGCCAACAAAGGTCCCTGCTGCCTTCCAGAGCAACACAGGGATTTGCCAGGCTTTGTTGACACCCTGGCAAGTCTCTGCTGCCTTGCAGATTGCCTAATAGCTTTTGGTGGGCTTTGCAAATGCCCACAAGTGGCTGCCAAGGGAAGGTGAGGGCCACTACCAGCTTCAGCTCTGGCTACTTCTGTGTGAGGGCCCCAAGTGGTGGGTGTGCATTTTGGAGCCTTTAGGTGAGGGTTAGGTGCTAGAGCAAGCACAGAGCCCCAGTGTTGATGGGGCTGTGAAGGGACTGCCAAGTGAAGTGGAGGGCAACCAACAGCTTTCAGTCCCTGCCACTTCCGTGTGAAAGCCGTGCCTTATGGGCATCCACTCTGGAGTGGGACTCTGGCTGGGGCGAGGGTGTAGGTGAATAGGAATCTTCATGAACTCAGACTAAAGCCAACAGGAACCTTCCCAATGATTTAAAGAGTGCTCGATGGGATTCTAGAGAAAATTGGCACAACTTTGAGTGGATAGTTCTGACTAGTGGCTGTCACTTTACAGCACTGCAGATACCCACACACTAGCTACTGTTGGAATTCACCAGGTGATGTTCCTACATATCAATCTTGGGATAACTCTGCTTTTGCTCACCTTCAGAATACCCTCCAGCCCTTCTGAAGCCTTTTCTGTGATTCACATGGCTCTTCTCATATCACTAATAGTTCAGGTTCCTCTGAGAATTAATGTGCTACAGTAGGTGAAAATCACCAACTCTATCTGTCCCTCTCTTCTCTGCATAATGAATCCTTCTTTGCATCCTCTTTCTCTTCCCCCAAGCGAACAATTCATTTTTCCACAGCAGTGCCAAATTTGCTTCTTCCAAAAGGAATACTTTCATTTTTAGATAATCCTTTGAATTCTTTCCTGCATCCTTGTTACTAATACTCTCTCATGTTGTGCCACTGTCTTGCCAGCCTTGTGTCTTTGCTGTTAACAATTATGTATCCATAAATGTAGATTGCCACTTGTTAGTCACAGAGGATGTTTCCAAGCAAGAGCTAAACTAGCATGTGAAAGCTCTTGTTTTCAGCTATGAAATCATCTCCAGAGCAGATGTGCTTTTTGTTTTCCTTCAGTCCATGTTAGTTGAACGTGTAGGTCCCCACAGTAAAGATCTCAAACACTGAGTAACCTGTTGCCAAGTTATCTTGGAACCAGCCAATCCAATTTTGTTGCAAGCAGAGCTTACAGAAAAAAAGAAAAATGTATATGACTGAATGAGTACTGCAGATCATAACACCATGGCTGACACCTCATTTCAACTCATTCCCTAAACCACAGCCTAATCCTACAGTGTCAGTACCTAGTTTCTTCATTGTCAAACAGAACTCCTGGTGGGTTTTCACCTCCCAGAGTTCCTTGGCATTAAATGACATGTTTTTCTGAAGACCAGCATTTTTGTGTCATTACATGGGAATCCCAGTTGTCATTGTGAAAGACAGGATCCTGGCTTTAAAAGATGTGATTATGAAACAGGATTTACACTATCTTGATGATGCAAACTCAACCCCATCTACAAACATGGTAAGTCTTCCTATGTTAGGGAACTCAGTTAAGTAATTTTTAAGTGGGCTGGCAAGGCTGAAGACTGTCTCAATTGTAGCTTCTTTTGGAAAAGCCTATTATACAGATACACTTCTCTACCTCCAATTCCAGTCATCTCTATTGCTTCTGGGGGATCAGGGGAAGGAAGGAGATAGCTGAAAATCTCCACTAGAGATCAAAAAATGCTAACACTTTCATCTGGAAAGTAGAAATTTGGTACAAACTGCCATCTCAGAGCAGGACACAGGCATATCCTGAATGTGTTCAGCACTAGCTTCCTCATGATGAGATCAATCCCTTCAATACAGACACTGGAATATTAGGGACAATCTCTCTTAATCGCCTTGATGCTCAGCTCCTAGTAGGGCTACTTTCCAGTAGAATGGATGCAACAGTTGCAAAACAGGCTGCAGGAAACTGTCACAGAAAGTCTTTGGAATAGAGAAGCGTGACATGGCAGGTGTGAGATACGTATGGCTGAACCTGCCTGAGGATGGGGAGATGGACTCCTGAGGCCCCTTCCAAAGCCAACATGCACTCTGCCAAAGCCATAATCAGGATCATTTCCAGCAGCTTCGGATCTCTTGGTTTTGAATGGGAGCTCCAGCTATCAATATGCCCAGAGGCTTGCTCCTTCTTTCACTCCTGGTGTGCAAGTTACAGAATTTAAGACTGCTGAACCACCTACATGCTTGCAGACAGTCCTCCTTTCAAGAGACTCCACTGGCAAATGCCAAGATATACCTGAAGAGTTATGCAAATAACTGCATCCAGCAGAGAGATCACAAAAACAAGTGCAGGGATGGCCAGTGGGTTTATTATGTCTCAGGAAAATAAAGCAACACCCTCTATTTTCTTGCTAGTAAATTCATCATCATAACCAAAGCCATGAATCATTTATCTGCAAATGCCCCCGCTGACCAAGAATGCTGTTGGAATCCTCACTTGCTGTGTGCTGGCACTGGAACATGCAATTGTGTCTTGCAAATCCTGCCCTGTCATAAAGCTTCCTGGCACCAGTGGGTATGCCAATCTGCTACTGAGTAAAATGCAGCAGACAACATTTTCTGCTGTGTGGGAAGGAACAACTTCTAATTCCAAATGCGTGCTTGTGTTGTCTGGCAAGGACAAACAGGCAATGAGTTACAATGAAAGTATAATATAACTATCGTCCCAGAGACAGAGCTTCCATTGCTCCTTCCCTAAGTAGGCAATTATTGCCAGTTGAAGTAGCCTGAAGCATTGACCTGAGAAGCACTCACTGTAGCTAGTTTATTACTTGGAGTCCAGTACTTGAAAAAAAGAAGAAAAAAAGAAAGGAAAGTAATCTTTTCACGAAGGAACAGCACAGAAGTTCCAATTAATTCTTCCATAGACAGTTTTCATTTCTGTCTGTGCACAAGGGACACAGGAGCAAAAAGCAACTGCAAGTTATTATGTGCGATAAGCAATGTAAAACTGACAGGGAAACCCTTGAACATCAGCATTTTTCCTCTCAAATGGTTTTAACTGCAGAAGAGTTTTGGGCAACAGATGATCTGTAGCATCTGTATTTTCCCACCTCTGCTTTCCGCAATGCAGCACGCCTGGGCTTGCACAGCATACAGCAATGTTATCCTTGGGCCAACAAGAGGGCTGGGTTGCACAGGTTGCCCTGTCCATCATTTGCATCGGGTCTTCCCCATTTTCTTTTAAACATGGTTCTTAGGGAAATGTCATCGCTCCCTCCTTAACCCTTTCCTGTTTCTTCTCAACAATTAACAGTCCAACAGTGGATCAGTTTGACCCTCCTTCCTTGGAAATCACTTGACCTGTACAGCAAAGTTGTTTTTCATAAAACAGTTTCAGTCACACAACCATTCATAAAACCCCTTGCACTTGTGTTGCTAATAAAGGTTTATATTTGGCATGACAGGCAACATTGAGTTGTTCTCTGTTATGGCTGTAAACAATCCTGTTTTGCTATTAGGCCTCGAGAGGGACTTACAATACAGCAGCCTGCAGTAGCCTGTAAAATCCAGCTATCAGATTAGCTCAGCCTGGCCCAACTCTCAGCCAAGTAAAATGCTCCAGGCAATTACTGCGGGGACCTCTGGGGTCTCAGAAGTGGATGAGGAGAGAGTACATCTGTGAACACCTGCCCCACCAAAGCCAAACAATGCTGAATAGAACCATGAAAGGTGCAAGCTGTTGTAGGACTTCATCTGTTTTTTGTCAAAGCATACACAGCAGAAGAGCCCATCCATCAGCTGTGCAGCAGTACACATCCCAGGTTGTGTGAGCCATGACTGAAAAATCACGCATCACTGTTTTCTGTTGCTTGTAACCACCCTGTTTCTATCCCCCATGGGAAAGGCAGAAGCCACAGAATTAGGAAAGGGGTGTGGGGGGAAGTAGGACAAGAAAATACACAAACTTAAGACGAAAAGTAGCGTGTTCAGGACAGAAGAACGGCATATGCTTGGACATTGCTACAATGTCATTTCTGTTATATGCTTCTGGAAACTGCTCTGCAGAGTCCTGCTTGACTGTGGTTCCCCTTCATGTCAGTTCCACTAATTGTGAAGTGCAAAATTTCTGCCTAGCAAAAGGGCTAGGCAGAAAGTATGCCACAATACAGTAAACCAAACTGCTCACCCCACCTGTAGGGACACATGCTTCCAGCCAACAAGAGGAAATAAGAGTAGCAACTGGTACTTCACCCAGAGAGGAGGTGATCAGAAAGAGAGCAGCTTTAGCATCTGGGAAACAAACCTGGAAGTAGCAAGAAACCAACCTACTGTGATTGTTAGTAGCCCCAACAAGACTCATCCTCATTCGGAAAGGACTAAGAGACTGGTGAGAGCCCAAGCAGTCACACTGTTATTTGCCAGAAGCAGTAATGACTGCCCTTGGGATGGGTGGCTGTACCTCTCAGAATCACAAGAGGTGACAATTCCTTGAGGTTACAGTCCAGAGCTGACACGCTTCAAGAGTCCTTGCCTTAGCCCATCACTAGATGTTGCCTGCAATATCAGCCCTCCACAGCTGACAACCTCAAACCCTGCTGCTCTGAACACCACTGTTACAAAAGCATTATTATGACATGAGAGCTCCTGCCTGAAGGGTCCAGTTGCACACTTAATATGACAGGGGAACATATGAAAATGCTTCACACTGAGGTCATCAAAACGGAGAGAAACTTCCACTGTAGTTAGAGACTCAGAAGAATGAGTGATCTGAGAAGCAATGACTGTTAGCGGGTACAGACCAGGTCATACCAGTTCACTGCTCCATGCTTCCACTTTCACAGCTATCAAATTCAGAGTACAGAAGCTGTTCTTTATAAAGCTTATATAATCTACAGATGGAAACTGCAATAGAAGGCTTAATGTAAAGATCCTGCCCTTCTACCACATGGGGTACTTCAACAGTCCTTTTGACCCAAAGACAAGACACTCCTTTTTCCTAAACAAAGTTCTTCCAGTTAGGGCTGCCACTGGACATTTTGCAGAGTGCAGCACAGCAGGCTTTCAATAGACTGCAGGATCTTTAAACGTTACCATTTGCTCAGACTCAGATGCAACCCTCTTGGGCTGCTGTAAGAGCAAAGAAACAGGTACATCCATTACACATGTCCAGTAAAACATCACACAAGTGAGAAAGGGTAACAGATGCAAAACAGCAGTCAGCCTGCTGCTCCTATCCTAATAAGCAGAGTTAAGCAAGGGGCAAGCTGAGATGGTGAAAAGCAAAACACCAGCAGCATGTGGAAAGGTGTCCTGCCTTGGCCTCTGCATACAAGCAGCCTGTGTGAGCAACAGCCTTTTCCAGACTGCATACCAGCAAGTGGAACATTATCTCCAGTCCACTTCTTTCAGTTGTGCAGGACTCAAAATAGCATGGCACTCTCCACAATAAGAGGGAAGCGTGGCACTTCCACTCCTTATTATGGAATGGCCAAGCTCTCTCAACACCACAGATCCATGTTTAAGACAGATTCCTCTTACTGCCCAGGTCACAGCTGCTTTGCCAAGTCACAGCCATTTCTGGGATCACCCTGCCCAAGCAGACGGAGAAAGCAACGCCTCTTGAGAACAGCCGAGTTTGCTGTAGCTGCTACCTCTTGACAACATTGTTAGTGCAAGTTGTGGTTCTTCTCAAACACGTCTCCAGCTCCTCAGAACAGGAGGTAGTCTGTGAGAAACTGCTTGGTAGAAGAGCAGCAGCAGAGAAAAGGCAAGCAGTGCCTGGGTCTACTTTAAAAACACCCCTAGATTCCTGCTCCCTAACTCAATTCCTCTGTCTGCAGTTCCTGCACGGTGATTCTGCTAAGAACTCAGAAGTAATCACCAGAGCAGTTGTAAGAACAGGCCAAAACAGAGACTGAACTCAGCTATTCTCTCCATTTATGTCCCCAGTGCTCCTCCTCAGTCACCTGTAAAGGGCCTTAGCTAGCAGAGAACATGAAAACTGGCAACGGAAGGCCAATAAGCAGGACCCTGAACTCAGCAATGTTCTGGTAGCTTCCTTAGCTAAAAACAAATCAACCCACCACCTTCACTCAAGCTGACAATCACGCACATCCTGCCACAAAATCTGGCCTGTACGCCCTTTGCTGTGTGGAAACTTTGACAGAGATGGGAACAGTCTCATCTTCATTAGATAACCGATTCCAGTTTCAGAAGAGTTTGTGCAGGTATTAAAGATGTCAGCCTCCATGTGGCTTGTTATAAGGGATCCTGGACGACACTGCAGTGGGCAGAGGAGTCTATTCCAGCAGGGTCCTGACACTGAGTGGTGCTGCTCTGCTGCCATTTCTCAGGAAAATACAGTGTTTTGTGAATCAGATTTTTGACAGCAGAAACATCACTTCTTTCTATGGAGAAGACAGACAGTTGTTAGGGATTCTCAGCAAGTAGTACATGAAAGCCCCTCCTCCTCAAGAAGCATGTGAAACTCTAGTTACCAGCACTTCATATGCCAGCAGGCCTTCCTCTCTTTTTTCCCCATATATATCCACCCTTTCTGCACTCACCCACACCCAGCTGCTTCAGGAGACTTCCAAACTCTGGGTTACAATCCAGGATTTTCAACAGGTTGGTGGACTCCATTCTCTCCAGCTGCACATCCCAGTAGATGTAGATCTTCTGATTGAAGCTGACATAAACCAAGCAGGGGCTGTTGCTTCCTCCTTTGCATGCATAGAGGCCTGCGGAAAGGCAAACGCAAGGCTCAGGCTGGTTCCATGGAGCTCCTTGTCTCCACCTGAGAACAGTAAAATAAAAAAAGCAGTGGGGAAGACAAGAGAGCCCTGTAGCACTCCCAAAAGGAACAGAAAAAAAAACCCAACCCAAAACCATCACAGACAAACCTCAGCATCACCTCCTCTCACCCCAGCTTTTCCCAGATGCCACCAGAGGAAGGACTTGCTGGGTCTTCTGCAGTAACACACACAGGGAAATTACTTCCCACTGCAGACAGACAAAGGACTCCAGGTCTCCCCGAGGGCAGTAGTAGCTTTGAGGGAGAAATGCTGTGAGGACTGGCTTTGCAGTCAGGCTCCTCACCTGCACAGAACGCGCTGACATTCTCATCTGCTTGAAATCTGGCAACAGTCCGATTGTGGTCAATGATGTATGTCTGACCATCCCACGCACAGGCAATCACCTCCTCGTGCCCATTGCCCTGTAGGAACCATAAGATCATATATTAACATGGACCTCAACTATTTCCAGGGGCAGTCAAGAACTTTCCTGCTTGTTCAGAGACATGAACACTATTGTCTGAATAAGATGTCACTTCTGGATGCCTTGTTCAGTCACTTTGCAGTTGTCCAGTCTTTTTGCACTTGGAGACCATCTCTCTCTTCTCTGTTGTAATCCTTACGTATCATAAGATCTTATAGACAATCAGGGTATTAGCAATGTGTAAAACCATTTAACTTTGCAATATGATAAAAGAGTAGCTGGGGGACAAAAAAGTTCACAGCAGGATGTTGGGCTCACTAGGTCAAACACAGCTCAACCTCTTGCAGATGGACAGACTGACATGAGTGCAAAATGCATCAGCACAGTCAGAGCACTCTGTGTCATCCTGAGATAATCCCAGCCTTTTTCAGCCAAGTCATATTCCTTCTGCCCTTCCTATATTCCTACACACAAAATCATGCAGAGTTTTTGCCTTGCTCCCTTCCAGCCCCGTTCACAGACACTCACAGTAACATCCAGCTTTTCCAGAGCAAACAGCTGGTGATCAACCTGCACAGACCAGAGCAGCTTGTCTGCTCCCTCCATGAGTTTCAATGTCCCTGAAGGGAAGAAAAAAAACTTAAAATAAGTTTTGTCTTGAAAGTATTAGAAGGGAACAATGTTTGCTAACACTTGGCCCTACACATTCTGTCAGCAACCAGGGTCTGGTGCAGGCAAAAGGTTGGGCGAGTGATACAGGCTGTGTTTGATAACAGGTAACAGTGGGAAGCACAGCAGCCCATTATCTTGTTGTCAGTAACTGGAAACAGAGAGGAAAAGTGGCAGCAGCCCTACTGAATGGAGTGTGCTCTACGACAAGAAGAAAACCAGCCAAAACTAGGCTCCCAAAGTACAGTACATCAACAGATCTCACATGAGACAGTGAGTGAACTTGAAGTTTCTCACCATGTCCTGCAGATCATGTCATCTCAAGACAGCATGTTGACAGTTATCAGCTGACAAGTGGCTGGCTAATAGCATGGGCATGGCCTCTTGCCTGCTAAAACCATACTGGACACCTACCTCACATAGGTATTTTTCTATCATCCAGATATATTGTGATAGTACTGGGGAGTGGAGAGAGGGTAGCCATGAGAAAGTGGAACATAAACATGAATCTAGCTTCACAGTGCCATCCAGCCTTGTTATAGCTCCTGAGTCAACCAGAGTGAGGCAGGAAGCCTTGCGGATGCAGAAGCTTCAGGGTTCAGGCCCAGAGAGTAATCAGAAATTCCCCAGCAGAAAATCATTGGGAGGGTGGACATCTGGCCCAAACAGGCCAGGCTGTCATCTGCGAAGGGAGAGCACAACATACTGTCTCCACACTGTGCTTTTTGGACAGAAACCCTGCATTCAGCTCATTAGACCAGTCCCATTTTGCAGTCAGGGCACAGCAGAAGAACCTGGTTCCAAGCCTGTGTGAGGCCAGCTCCTCTCTACCAATACTCAAGTTCCAGCACCCATTCCCTTAACTGCTTTTGGAAACAATCCAACTCCTTCCAAGTTCTCTGCTGTGGTAGTCTTTTGTCTACAGGAATGGCACTTTTGAATTGGCATCTCAGACAATTGTTTGAAAAATGGGTAAGCAGGCAACTTAGAAATCAGCAGCTGAAAGTTCTAGTCTCACTCTTTATTGCAAGCTTTCAGTGTGCCTTTGACCTAGACTTTTCATTTTCCCAGCTGCCTGCTGCAGCATGATATTCATACTTCTACCCAGCACAGACTATAGGACCATACAAGTAATTGCAGTTTGTACAATGCTTTGAAATCCACGGATTAATACACTGTACCAGGAGAGTGAGAAAGGCAGATATTCATAACAGAAAGAAAACACAACAGGTTTTCTGGAGAGAGCAAGCCTGTGCTACACCAGTCCCAATTCAGTGAGGAACAGAAAGACAGACTCAGCTTTAATGTTTCATCGGGCCCTCAGATACAGGCATGTTATCATATGCCTGGTTTATGGGGGAGTTGATCACAGTAACAGCTCTTACCTTGGCTTCTGTCTTAGTTTTCATGCCTTCATACAAAATATGTCAGCAAAAGTCTTGGAGTCAAATTCTCCTGCCTGACTCAGGAAGTGTTTCTGAAGCTCAGATCCCCTTTTTTCAAAACAAAAGGCACTGTGCCCCTGATTCCCTTCTTTGAATCAATGACAGGCCTTGGCCACCTCACAGGCCTTTCTTCCAGGACAGCAGTAGGACTTACCATCCAGAGTACAGAGGGCAAAGAGACCTGAGCCACTATTCTCACTGGAGGAGCCTGTAAGTGCAGAAGAGAATTACAAGAGTTGATGCCATTTTGTAAGCGTTGTCCCCGCCATCTCCTAAAAAAAAAAACAAAAAAACCCAAACAAGCTGATCCATCCTGCTTCCTTTTTGCCCAGCCCTGACATTCTGCTTACCAGATACCTGCAGATTCTTGCAATCAATTGTACTTCATGACTTTCATTTGTAGGGCACTGGCATCTCAAAACTCAAGACCTTCTGTCAGTTGATATCAGCATGTCTGGCTCTGCTAGTTGCTCTTAAGAGTTTGTCTGTACCACATATGCACTTGGAGGCCCATGGCAGTTCTGATATCCATCACATTCTCTCTATGTGATGCACGAGCATAGCCAGGACCATCACAAGGGACAAAGTAAAGAACAGCTAAATCCAGGCAAGAGTATTAAAACTACCCTCACCTTTTCTTTCAAGGGCAGGAACACAGCCTTTGACTGTTCTGGCACGTTACAGCATCAAAAGAGAGGTCCCACCAGAAGGACAAAGCTTTAGTCACATTAGCACAAAAGCATTTCATGGCAATTCCTGAATGAGTCTGTAGAGATCATGCTACCACCCTATTGTTTTTGTTACAGCAAAACTGTACAGAAGACGTGATCCTCTCCCACCAAACACTGGTCTAGAGACAAACACAAGGGCTAGAGAGCCCTTTACAAGCAGATTAGACATGTGTAGCTCATCTACACACTCAGCCCTGGTTTTCCTGGACTATATTTACACAGCTGTAAAAATCCTGCAAGCAACATTCTCTCTAAAATGTCCTATATATCACAGCTGTGTGCAAGATAGCACTGACAAATGCGACTAGATACATCTGAAGAGGAGACTCCCTGACCAGCAGGCTGGTTCACCCTTCAGTACACTCTCTACCTAGCTACCAATCATAAAAGACATGCAAGGTCAGGTTTTGAAAGCGGTGTCACACTTAGTGAGACTTGGAGCTGTATTTAACTACAGCTGCATTTCATCCTTTCACTGACAACACAGGAGAGACACTGGTTTTCTGGGGTCTACAGGAACCCAAGAAACCTGGCAGTGAGGTACAAGCCAGCAGAGCTGAAAACAGATAGGCAGTTTCCCTAGAGAAATATAATTCTGCAAGCCTACCTCCACTGCCCATAGAGAGCTCCAAGCTATAACAACCTGCACACTTACAGAACACAGACTACCCTGTTTCTGCAGATCAGCTTAAACCAAGCCAGCTGTTTTGAGTGCTCTATTGCCCCTAGCTGACATTCATCTGTACAGGCTTTGATCAAAAAGATCTGCTGTGTCCCCCTTACAAACTGGTCAGCATGGCACTCTTAGGCTGTTTCATTACCTATCGTTCAGAATTAGTGGACTTTTCCCAACCTTCTCTTCATCCTTTACTCTGTGCCTTAATTTTTCACAAGACACCTTCATTAGATGAAAAGCTTAGTATGCAGTGAAATAACTGATTTCATGTTCTGTTGACCCTGTTGCTCATAGCAGCACCTGAGATGCTAAAAACATAACAGCTTTGGAAGAGTTGGGAAAGGAGAAGAGCAGGGGGTTCAGTGGACTGCTCTTCTCCCCCAGCTCAAAGTTACATTGGGCAGCCTAAACTGTTCTCAGGCAGCACTGCAGAGGGTAATACTTGGACAGAGCAAATGCAGCTAGATTTTCTGCTTTCTTGTATTATGCTCACAGGCTCCAATGGGACGTGAAAGCTGCTTATTCTCCATAGGTATCAAAAGAAAGGTTCTGCAGGTGCACCAGGCACAAATCAGAGCACACGGCATTTACACAAGGAAAGCAGTGGCAGTGTGTAAGAAAAGTCTGGACACAGCAGCGGCATGTGAGGGCTGAGGGGAATGAGTAGCTGTGGAGGGTTTAGATACAACAGCTGAATGGAATACACTGGAGGGAGACAGAGGACAGTGATATAAATTAAATATGGAAACTCTGAAGGGATTGGGCCTGCCTAGGTGAAGGAAGAGCAGTATACAGATGCCAGGTACTGGGAATCAAATGCTAAAAACCACAAAAAAATAAAGCTGAGGCTGTGGAAAGGAAAAGATGTATCTAGGGAGTAAGAAGGGCATAAGCTGCAGCCATGCAAAAGACCAAGGACATCTGCAGAAGCAAGGCATGGCAGCCATTCACGATGACTAAATGCAGACCAGTGGAGGTTGCTGAAAAACTGCTGTGCTACCTGAACAGTTGGATATACCTAAGGAAGGCACAAAGCCATAGGAAGTTCAAATGCAATAATCCAGCTGTCTTTCTTTGGGAGCTGGCTAACAGAAGCAAAGTTCCCTCTGTTCTTGCAGCTCTCTCCCACTGGTATTTTTCAACCACAGGAAATCTGATTTAATGCTGGACTGACATATTGAAAAACTATCAATTGTTGGGCCAGAGACCCCAAGCTCTTAAATCTCTCACCTCGTCCAATGCTACCAATTAGATGAGTGGAAACATTCTTGTTGTGAATCCGTCCAGATGTTTGGTGCAGAATAACGTCTCGAATAGGGCCTTCGCTAGGAAAAAGACAGAGACATCAGAGAAAGGCCAGGGAACCATGCCACAATAATCCCAAGACCAGTGTACTCCAAAGCTTTATAAATTCAGAGACTGCTAAGAGTTTGTACATAGATTAGCCCTTTAATGGCAAAGGCCAAGGAAAAGAATGCATACCACCCTAGGTATGAAAGGAACTCTCTAATGTTTAAAAAATGAAAACAGAATGATTTGATACATCAAAAAACTGTAAAGAGCTCAAAACAAAAAGGAGAGGAACACATGGGGAAAAAAAATAGCATGGAAAATGCCAGTAGAACACGTATTCCAATCAAAGAAAAAAAAACCCTCCTCCTACAGTTTTCTGGGTTTGCCTTAAAATCCCACAGAACACCATGGAAGCACCTGAATCCCCTCCAAGAGCCCCTCCAATGCCGAGGACAATAAACTCTCTGCTCATCCTGATTGCTCTGGTTGTTATTTACAGCACTGGCTGCTAAAGGTCTCATTATAAAAACCTCCAGTTACCTCTCCTGGAAGAAACAAGTGAATAAACTCAAAGTACCACCCTTGGCTTCAGAGCCCAGCTATTCAGTTGCTACCCTTCCGACCATTAGATAGGTCACAAGATTGCCTACTACTTTTTCTCTGAAGATCTAGGTCACTCATTTCCCTACCTTAGCCCCCAGTACTGTCCCCCTCAGTGAGATGGTTTTGCCACTCTCCTTGCCCAAACCAAGAAGAGTGGGATAGAAGGAAAGCAGCAGTATTCATCTTTGTGACAGAGACACGAAGAGTGTTCATAGAAGGTGCGCTTAAGTCCCAGCACTGCAGCAATGTCAGAGAAGCAAGGACAAATTACAGCACCCCCCTCAGAAAGACGTTGTGTGGTGGTGCCCCCTTGTAATGGGCATCTACAGTGGAATCTCCTCATCTACCATACGCAGTAATGCTCTTCACCTGCCTGGGGCAGAGTTGTCTCTTCCCTCTGCCGTGGCCTGCTGCTCAGAGTCCCAGGTGCACAGCAGAATGGCATAACCACAGCCTGGCTGAGACACCATCATCTCTGGTGAGCCATCAGGGCCTGGGTTCACAGACAGGCTGTCCACCTATACTGGCAGAGGAAAAACACTGATGGAGTCAAACTGAAAACTTCAAACACCACAGAAAAGTTCACTACCCTCCTTGTACCTAAACTTGAGTATGGCAGATCTTCTGACAGAGCTGAGCAGGAATGGAACAAATCCAGCTACAAGCAAAATGTCCAAGTTACAGTAAAAGGTTATGTTTCCCTACAATACACCACTTAAGAGCAACACCAGTATTTTCTACTAATGCTCTCTAGTTGGGTGACGGCAACCAACTGGTCTCCCAGACCAACCCACCAGCTGCTCTGCAAGTACAAGACAAGCACCGGGCAAATCTTTCAAGCCATTAACATGACAATTACTTTGTTCACAGGACTGAGATCTTGTGCTTCTTCCCTTGAGACAGCCACCTCTTGAAGACTATATGACAAGTTCTGCTCTGAGCAGCCAGTTTCCTTACCTGACCTTCTAACAGCCATTTCTTCAACAGGAGCAGCTGCCCAGATACGTGGTCTGAATTCTCTGACAAGTCCTCCCAGCGGAAGGCACGTACCACTCTGTCAGTGTAACCCACCACCAACTCGCACTTCCCATCTCCATCTGAAGGGAACACAAGGAGATAGATGGGGTCTCTCAGGTTTTCATAGCCCCACGAGCCCCAACATTCATAAACCACCACTGTGCTGGTTTCCATCACGTAGCATCTCTGAACATCCTAATCCCGTAATGAGAACCTGCACTTCAGGAAAAGTCCTGAAGTTTTTGCTTCTTCCACCCATGACTCAGCTGTAGCTTGTTAGAGCACTTATTTCAGGAAGAGAGTAATTTCCTTCTGTGAGTCCTACACATTTTCTTTCTCTTACCCAAACTCCCTCACCCTGCACTCCCACACCATCTTCCTGGCTCACCAATGTCATTAATCAGCATGACCTTGGTGTTGGCAGGAATGTGCTGCTTGAACACTGGCTTCTGCTCTTCTGCTGCTGCCAACTCATGGTGGCCTGAAGCATCCGGGTGTTTTGAAGTTGAAGAAGTGAAGTCAAAAAGATGAAACCAGCCTTCTGCACTCACTGTCACCACAAGATTCTAAGAGGGAAGAGAAAAACCTTTTGATTTTTCCTATTTTAGAAACTGCGGAAGATCTTTCGCAGCAGGGTGAGGGAAGATACAAGGGTAGATCCATCAAGATGGGTGACTGCTACAGAGGGAACAGGAGAAGGTTTTTGGTCAGCAAGCTACCTAGGTACTGCAGGGTCTAAACTTCTTGCTCATCCTTGTCAGACCAGGATTATCAGGCTGATGTGTGCACGCAATCCCCAAACATGTGGCTTTCCCAATGCTCACTTCAGCTCTGCTCCCCACTGGAGCACACATAGCGACAGTATATTAGGCAGGGTGCCTAAAGTGGGACTTTTGGACTCATTGGTCCTGGCTTAACCCCCAGATGACCTTAAATGCACACAGCCAAGTGGCAGAACAGCCATAACCCACACCAGGGACCAGCACAGAGCAGGGCAAAAGTCACTACGGAAAAGGAGCAACCTTCAAATCACCAAAGCCTTGTGGCGCTCACACAGGGAGATGTGGAAATGAAGAGTGCTTTCTGAAGACAGGATGGATTTCCTTGCTCACTAAAACCTACCTATGGCTCATAGAAAGATAGAGGCTATATGTAAACAGGACAGTTTTAAAACAGTAGTGCTAAAACTATGAGCAAACCTGGAGAAAAAGCACCTGCAACCTGTCCTTCTCCACATTCAGGATATGACATGACCCTAAGCACCTCCCACATGACCTACAGACACAGCTGGGAAGTTTGGCTGCTCTCACCTTTCCTTTATTGCATATATCTCCCACACCAACACACGTGAGCTGAAAGAGAAAAGGACATACATGAGGGAAGAGAACTCAAACAGTGCTTTGGGATAAGCTTCTGCTCTATTTCCTCCTCTCTCATAACCTTCTCTTGAACTCAAAACAGCCTTTTCAAGGACAAAAGTGCAAAGTCAGGGACAGAAACAGATCTGCCACACAACTGCCCAGAGCCCCAGAACCAAATCCACAGTGCACAGGAAAAGGGAAAAGGTGGGACAGAAGCCCAGTTCCTGTGTTCAGTACTTTGCTCATCACTTTTAGCTCATGGGGCTAGCTGTGGGCAAAAGCAAGGTCTTGCCTATGGCTGCATCAAAAGGAGCGTGACCAGCAGGTCGAAGGAGGTGATCCTGCCCCTCTACTCTGCTCTCGTGAAACCTCACTTGGAGTACTGTGTGTAGTTGTGGTGTCCTCAACACAAGGACATGGAATTGTTGGAGCAAGTCTAGAGGAGGCCACGAAGATGGTAAAGGACAGCTGGCTGCACACACACCAAAAGGCCCAACCATTAAAAATTGTGTCTAGAACTGACCATTCCTTGGCAAGATCGCACAGCCCAGGGTTTGCTGTCGTCATTCTTGTAAACATAGAGCTTCCCATTGGTGTCTCCCACCACTAGCTCATTCAGCTGCATAAAAGAATTGAGTTAGTAAGAAGAAATTCACAATTACAGTAACATTCTCACACAGCAATAATTGCAGAATTCGTATATAAAAATCACTCTGTAGGAAGAAGCAGCAAAGCAAAATAAGACTTAGAAACAGCCTCAAGCCAATAGAAAAGGTCTGGGGTAAAAAAACACCCAGCAATTAATTTTCCTTTTGCAGGTAAAAGAGCTGGAGAGCAGGTCCTCAGAGCAACATCCCATTATATACTGCTTCTCTAGCCATTGTTTCTTCACTGTTTTAACATCCTGCTCCGCTAGTCATCATCATCATCACATTTTCTATCATTCAGTCTAGACTGACTTGATCTTTCTTGCATGACCTGAGGAAGATTACGGCAAGAAAGAAAATGTAACCATGGAGAAAGAGGCTGCAAGAACATTTACAATCAATTTACACTGGATGTTCAATTTCATTGATGAAGGGGTAAAGGTTCTTCAGAATGGTGATTATTTCTTTAAAGGAGCCTTTAAAAATTATTAAATATTTAATATATTAAAAAAATATTAAAGAATTAAAATATCCAACTACCCCTGCTGACGAGCCTACTCTTACCATCCCATCTTCTGCATCATGCCCCTGTGTACTTAAATTGTGTGCATTTCAATAGCTCCCTGCATACATTACCCCACATAACACTATTTCTCATGGGAAAATGTGTTTTATCATCTACTGCTTTGCTAGCCATGGCACTTTTCAGGGTAACAGAATACAGCTGTAATAAAATATGCTTGTTGAAGAGAACAAACGACAGCTTACATCTATCTGGTGAAGCTAACTCTTCCTAGTTACAGACAAATCAGACCCATGAGAAAGAAGCATTTGGGGGGGGTCCCAATACGCGGTCAAGAAACCCTTTTTGTGTTCCTGCGCTGCAGCAAAGCATTTCCACACAGCTCCACATCCCTGCCAACGCAACAGGAGAGGTTTTGGGACCAAAACTTAAACTCTCTATAGCTACACACCATCCAGGGCCCATGCCGAGAGTGCCCAGCAGGTCTAACGGCGATGGAAACACTGACCAGCTGCAGCCCAGCAGCACTGGGACAGTCAGCTTGTGAAGGACCTCCGGGGGCTGCCGGATGCAACCCCTGCAGCTTCATTGCTCAGAAACCCATCAAACTCCAACGCTTCCCCAGGGTGGAAGCCCGGGGTGCTCCGCAGGGCGACCAAGCGCGGCACCCGCTCTCAGGTGCCCCACAAACCGCTCCCAGCGACCGCCTGCGGAAGCACCACCTCCCGCAGCCGCGCAGAACCCCCCCCCCCCCATTCCCGCCTGAGGACCGTGTCGTTGTCGGCGTCCCCCAGGCAGATGGCTCGCGGGAACAGGCTGCCGCCGAAGTCGAGCGCCACACGCTGCACATAGCTGACCGAACGCATCCCGCCGCGGCCGCCCACCGGCCGGCCGCCTTCCCTGCCTGCCGGCCACCGGAGCACGGCGCGCAGCGGTACGCCTCAGCGGCCGACAATGCGACCGGGGCGCGCAGGCGCAACGCGAGGTCTGGGCGGGGCATGGCGGGCCGTCGCTGGGCCCTCCGGGAGCAGCCGCGGCCGGGACGAGCAGCATAGCCCGGCCGGCCCCACAGCTTGGGGATGGAAGCACACTTTCTGCCTTTGCGCTCTGGGCCCTCCGGAAGAGCGAGCGCCCGACCGCTTGTCCCGGTGCCCGCCTGCCAAGTGGGAACAGTGGGCAGGGTGACGGCCTACCAGGCCTCAGGCTCAGCAGCAGCCCCACAGCCAGGAGACCTGGCTGTGCTTTCGCTTGATCCAGCTCCTGTAACAGTGGAACTATGTCACTACTGCCTTCTGCAAACGAGGTGTTTAGCTCCCGCTCAGATCCAAGGGCACAGTCGTACATCCAACAGCACGGAGCTGTTGTATGCGTGTCTTGTAGGTTGGACAAAAGATGAGGTCTTCCCACTTCCACAGCTAATAGTGAAATAGGGCACTTCTGTTACCTTAATGATATTGTAAAACTATGACAGTAACACTACACAAGGTGAAAGATTTGTAAATAAAGAGACAGATATATATGGTTAACAAAGTCCTGCAATTGCTTAAGCATTTTTGTATAACGACACAGAAGTTGAACTTTACATGCATGACCTCACTTAAAAAACACTTGTGTGCCATCAACTGCTGGCAACTGGCCCCATGCTTCAAGACAATACAGAACCTCCTTTCAGCTGCTCCTTTCATACAGACAACTCATAAAGCGCACCTGCACTACCTGGAAATGCTAATGCTTTGCTAAGCAAATCAAATCAGCATTTCCTTAACTGTGATAACAGGATAAACCGACTCTTCCTCACCCACTACACTGAAGCTTCAGGCATTGCTACATCCTGCAGAAAGCAGCAGAGTCACAGCTCCCTAAGCTACCTCCAACCCACCAGCATTTGGTGAAGGTCTTATTCTGGGCATGGGGCAGGACAGCATGTCAAGCAGACCTTAACACCCTGGCTACAGTTCAGTTACACAACTGCGTGGCCCAAGCCAGTGCTCTTGCAGGATCAGGTCCAGGCAAACCCCGGCCCATAAAAAAAACCATGGATAAGTGCCTATGCAGTACTTCTCTCAGCAAAGGAGACCAGCATTTCAAACTTAAGTATTTCAGATGTCATTCATGTTATAACAGGGATACTCCCTGCGATACACACACAATTCCAGACCAGCCCATGCAAAGATATCTTTCTCACTAAAAAAACCAAAACCAACCAACCAAAAAAACCCCCCAAAAAACCCCACCACACCAAAACCCACCAAAAAAACCCACAACAACCCACCAAAATCAGAAAAGCACCCACCAAACCCATTTTTGTACCTGAGAGGAACAGATTTATCTACCTTCCTCCTGCAGAGCAGGCAAAAAATTGTTGCTGCTGCTAGAGGGTCTCAGGACAGTGGAGATGCCAAGTTTAACACTACACAGCAGCATAAACAGAGGCGAGTTTGAGTACTATGTTCCAAGCCTGCAGACAAACAAAACCCCACCTCAACAAGAAGTCCCCACAAAACCCAAAGGCACACCAGCCCCCAAACAAGACACAAAATGTACTACAGAAAGAAGCAGAATATTAATAGCTTTCTTGTGAGATGAGGTCAAGCAGACATTCAAATCATTCAGAAGTTTGTAGTTCATTACAAGTATCTGTAGCGTGTTATATTGTTATCTCCTATTTTCTCTCCAAAGCCAGTCAGTATGAAGACGTGTTTTTTTTCCCTGGTCCAGTTTTACTATGTGGAAGGTATAGAGGAAGAGAGCAATAGGAACAGAAAATAAGGTCTATGCATAGGTTACAGATTTACTTTTTGTAAGATTTTCTGCAACAGATTTTTCCTTTTGCAAATATATGGGTAAATACTGTATTGATTATTATGGGTATTTTCTATGGCAGTGAATGAGCAACATCAGAGAATACTCAAGTACTGTGGCTATTGTACAGCTGTGTGGATGAGAAAACACTGGATGACCAAAGGACAATAAATTATCTTAACTTTGTGCAAATCCCAATAAAAACCCACAAAAATTTCTGTTTTCTGGAGTTTAATTGGAGCTTTATTACTTAAGCTGTGACTTCACAGTCTTCACCTTCGGCAATTTGCAAACATGAGGCATACAAGAAAGGTTACAATGCTTAGCGGAAGAGACTCCATACTGAACAGGGGAGTAAGGGGGCAATCCCAAGACAGAAGAACTGGGAGTGCCGATTTGTTCTCCAGTCTCACGTGAGAACTCCTGGAAAAAGCTGGTTACTTGGAAGAAATCAGGAAATGAACTGAGGAAGCAGAACCTGGAATTAAACTGGAACCAGAAAGAGACAAACACCAATGGCAAAATGCAAATAAACCAAGCAGAGTAAATCCAGACAGAACCCAAACAGTAACAGAGGCTGATTGAATAAATAAAGTCCCTAGGATTAAACCAGATTTATGCTGCCACTCAGCTTCAACAGACATATAAAGCTGTAATTGACTGTGGCATGGTGGCTTCAGCCTCTGCTCCCCTGAAGCCACTGTCCAACCAGGTAGAAAAATAAAGGTCTAATTCACTGGAAATTCTTTCATTTACAAAACTAATGGAATAGGGTTTGGTTTTATGCTTCTGTGTCAACTTCTGATTTATCTTCAACTCCATTCTGCTCGTCTTTCATTTCTGCATCTTCAGTGTGGCTGATCTGAAGAGAAGCAGCTGACTAAAAGAGACAAAGAAAATAGATTCCTTGTTATAAAAGACTGGTAGCACTTGCAAACAATACCACAAACATTATTTGGTACTTATCACAAGGGTACCTAGTCTCCTTGCAAAACTGAATTAAGGTTATCAGGACCTTCAAAGACAAACCAAATTTTTCTTACCATTTTTATCTGCATCTCAGAAATCATAAGCAGTTTAGAGGAGGCTGAGAAATAATACTGGTGTTAGACTGTTATGATTCATACATGGTGTGCACACATTTGCCACATAACACTTCAAGAAAATGTTCTCCCACAGACTTCCAGTTCACACACAAGGGATAGGAAGCAGAAAGCCATGTGGTAAGGGTCAGAGGTCAGTTTTTACAACAGGACATAACCAGCACCTTGCAACCATTTCCAAACACAGGAAAGAGAAGTAGAAACGTCTACTTCATCCTGCTTATCTCAAAAGACAGTGCAATGCAGCTGCTCTTCAACCTGTCAGCGTAGCACCCTGAACCATCTGTTTTATTATGAGGTTAGGTGAGGACAGATGAGAGGAAGCAAGGACATGAACATGCACTATTGGGGGAGGGGGAAAAAGGGTCAGAATCCTTCAACTGTTACATCATCTTAGCTGCAACAAGCAACCACAGCCAATGAACAAAGGTCATCCTTTGGCATCAATCCTTAGAAGCATTCTGTGAAGCACGTCAGGGCAAAGTCTCCTTTCCAGAGAAAATCTGTTACCTAGCGATCTTGGGCTTAAGATAAGGTGATAAACATCCCAACCTTTAAAAATCCCCAGTTTACATATGTGAACTATTCAAATTTATGAAACAAATTACTCATGCAGGAGTGGCTGTTGTACTTCTGTAGTCGTAAGATACACATATGTCATGAATTTCAGAACTACAGTCCAAGCTGCCTTCTTAGAAATCAGAAGACATTTGGCTAAACAAACCCTCTCCTCCAGAACTCTTGAATGTATGTGCCTCCCCAACAGGGAAACTGTTGCTGTAAAGCAAGATGAGAAATGCATTAACAGGAAAACATGTTTTCTTGCAAGAAAAATGCCCAAAACTGACCCTTTTCCATAAGAAAACATGTGAATTTTAAGTAGGCCAGGTGGCTCCAAGAAAAAGAAAACAATACTGTAAACATATGGATATTCCCAAGATCATCCATCTACTGAGAAGAATGAACAAGGCCAATAGGATCCTGGCCTGCACCAGAAATAGTGTAGCAGCAGGGCCAGGGCAGTGATCATCTGCCTGTACTGGGCACTGGTAAGGCTGCACCTTGAATCCTGTGTTCAGTTCTGGGCCCCCCACTACAAGAGAGATACTGAGTTGCTGGAGGGCATCCAAAACAAAGCAACAAAGCTGGTGAAGCATCTGCAGAACAAGTCTTATCAGGAGCAGCTGAGGGAACTGAGGTTGTTTAGTCTGGAGAAAAAGGAGGCTGAGGGGGGACCTTATCACTCTCTACAACTACTGAAAGGAGGCTGTAGTGAGATGGGTGTCTTATAAGTAACAAGTGACAGGACAAGAAGAAATGGCCTCAAATTGCACCAGGGGAAGTTTAGATTGGATATTACAAAAATTTCTTCACTGAAAGGGCTGTCAAGAATTGGATCAGGCTGCCCAGGGAAGCATCTGAATCACCATCCCTGGAGGTATTCAAATGACATGCATGTCATTTGATGTGGCACTTGGGGACATGGTTTAGTGAGGGGCTTGGTAGTGCTGGGTTAAGCTGGACTCGATGATGGCTGTCGTGGTTTAAACAAAGGAAAAACATGACTGCTACTGCTGAACCCAGGACAATGGCAAAGGTCTTTTCCAACCAAAATGATTCCCTGACTCTGTAAGCTGATTCTATCTGAAGTAGATGGGAAAATTGGAACTAAGTGCCATGTCTTTGCAGAATCCAAAACAGCCTGCAATGCAAAGACCGAGTCTGCCTTTTGCCAAGTATACAACCCTACCAAGTTCTTGCCTTGGGGTCTGAGGTGTACATTCTGAAAAGCACGAAGGCAGCCCTTTCACACTTTTATTGGGTATAGCTTGTTTTAGCAATTCACTCTTCCTCTCCGAATAAATTTTGCTCTGTCCCACACCTAGTGCGAAAGCCAGATTCCCAGTACCTGTGCTACCTGAAGGGAACCTGCACAGTACAGCCTGACAGCTGGCAATTAAAACCTGCAATTTCAAGAGTCAAGATGTCCAGTCAAATAATTCTAGTTTAGTTCCTGTGCCTTTTATCTTCCTGAGATTTTTCATTAAAGCCTACCAAAAATCATGGTACTGCATGGCTATACATGACAAGTCTAGAAGGACAATGTACTTCTCTCCAAGCTCCAATAAGCAAGGACGGATGACATCAGGCTGCTTTAGCCATACTTAACTACATGGACAATGACACTTTCCTTGCAGAATCAGTGGAGAATGTCTGCATTTGTGTTTGTTTACACTCCTTCATGAGAAGTAGAACCAAATCCACTTGACTACTGCTAATGTTTGAGGAGAAAAAACCCAAAACGAACAAAAAAAAAACCCCACAAAACCAAAAAGCCACTAGCAGAACACGTTGTGCACCCAACCATCCAGTTAGCAGTGATTACCCTGTATGACTACTAATTTAGAGATGAAAAATGGAATACTTCTCCCACTGTCTCTGGGAGATAAATCAATTTCAGATATATCTCATTTTGAAAGACTGCAGTAAAGGAAGAGAGGTTTGTGGAGTGTTTCATCCAGAAAATTATCAGCTGACAGTCTGAGATACCCGAGTTGCCAGGATACACTCATCTGAGGACAGTGGGCCCCTGGCCAGACTCACTGGCACAGTTAGCCACAGGAAACTGGCGTACCAGTATCTGACAGCTCTTTAGATTCTTCGTGAGTATTCTGGAAGGTGGACACAACGATCTGTGAAAATAGCCTCACAATATACAAGCTTCTGCACTCCCCGATATTACTGAGAAAATTTGAGTGACATAAATCTCAGATTTGACTTGGAAGTTACAGGTTTACTTACTCCTTCTGGATCGTCAGATTTCAGGAATACAAACACAACATTTTCTTCGGATATGAGATTCTCACCAGTAACTTAGAATGTGTCTTGCTAGCTGATACAACCTAGTTACAGCCTGTATTCAAATATTGCCATTGTCAACTGAACTAGTATTTACTAAAATTCTAGTGAACACTTAGTAGGAAAACAATCCATACAGTAGAATAATGAATCTTATGACAGTCTGACTTCAAATGTCTTAATTTGTGACATTTGAGATGGAGCGCATCAACCACATCTTAATGTCTCTGTGAGAAGCAAGTGGGTGCTCAGCACCATCTGTACACCAGACATTAATGTGTTAGGAAAGACAGCAAAACAGACTGTTCTTTGCAACAAATCAGTTTGAGGAGAATAGACACTTTTTTTTCAGTTCTTGAATTTTACACTTGCTTCTCATCACTTCAACCATTTTCTGATTAACACTGGTCTGCGACTTCAGCTGAAATAAGTAAAAGCATTCTGTGCAACGCTTGGTACTACTAGTTGTCTTGTTCAAACAAAATGGCCTGATCATTTTGACCACTGGCTATTTCCACCTCCTACAAACTCCCCAAGGAAAGTATTTGAGTGTTCTTCCACTACATTTACCTGTACTAAGTAAATTAAATACCTAAAACAGTATTCCTTGTCTAATACATGACACCACATCTTGTCTTCTGGTGCAGTGTTACTTACCTTTAAGTCTTTGTCTGCAAGCCTTTGGAACATGTTGGCATACATCTTTTTCTCCTTCTCATGCTGCTCCCGTATTTTCTGCTGACAAGTTACCAGTTGCACTTTGGCAGCTTTGTTACTTGGATAGAGTTGTATCACCTTCTGGAAATCTCCCCGGGCCAAGTCAAAGTCATTGACAGCCAAGTGTGCTTCTCCACGCCGGAAGAGGCCCTTTTCATTGTTGCTATCCAATTCGAGTGCCTGAATTAAACAAGACAATTTTTCTTGTCAAGATTTACTTGTGGTTTGTTTTTTTTAAAATATGCAGTCAGAACACAAGAGACTGCTGGGAACTGTACCTTCTAATGCAGAGTTATGAACCTTGTCAGGGTTTACTAATAAGGTGAACTGAATACAGTAGGAGGTATGAAAAGGACTGAATATAGTAGGCTGACTTGACAGAGAACCAGCAAGCCTAAGATTTATCCCTGGCTGTATTACAGCTCTTTGAAGGACCTTTGCCAACATTACTACCTTCACCATATCTAAATACTTCAGTATTCAAAAAGTAGCAGGAAAGTGATAGAAGATATCCAGATAAGAAATACCCAACAATAAATTGTTGGTTATTTTTACAGTTTGTATTCAGTACTGCCCAACTGCCATACTGCAAGCTGGTGAGAAAGGCCTAACACCACATGGTCTGGTATTCCTCAAATTGTTAAAGAAAGAGATAAACTGTCAGATCGCCTCTGCAGCTCAAGAATAAATAAACCCTTACTACCTTGTTGCAGTTTTCCAAAGCCGGGGAATATTCCTTCAGCTTGAGGTGGCACATAGCTAGATTAAGGTGAGCAGCAAGCCTCAAGCTTTTGGCTTTCGTATCCTCCTCCTCAGAGAGTCCCGATTCATGCTCCAGCCACGATACAATCTTCTTATACTGTAATGCTGCCCGTTTGTATTTCCCCTCCTGTAAGCAATGCAGTTAAATTATCACACAACTCGCAGGGTATTTTAGCTCCCTTTTGACCTTTCTGCTTACCTTGAACAATAAAAAAAAAAAAAACTATCACAAAAGAACTTCTATCATAAAGAATATATTACTTCTGAAAGCCATTCCTGCATAGAATCAGAAGATCTTTAGGAAGACCTGCTGGCTCCCCCACTGAAGCTAGGGGTATAGGCCAGCATTGGTATTTCACCTCAACTCCCACCTTATACACAGCTTTTGATACAAGACAAGGAAGATGGAGCATTTTCAAACAGTAGAACTATTGCTGTGTCATGAAGGTAACAGGAAAGTCTGCCTTTAGTTGGTCAAATTGCTTGAAACAGCTTCTCCACACATCTCTACCCAAATGAGTATTTTCATTCACAATACTATCCCACAGCAGGAATTTATACTGTAACCTTGCTAAAATTCAATTTATCCGTAGGTAGAGCAATCAGCTCTGACAGAGAGAACTAACTCCCTGCAGAGTTAGTTCTTTAGTTATTCCAACTCTGAGGCTTTTTTCTTTTTTAAAGACACCTTCCCTTCCAGTCCTCCCTGTAAAACATCACAAAATACCATGAACACCACTCCGAAATGACAGAAGCTGTCATCAGCATTATCAGCTCATGATATGGACTAAGAAATGCTAGTATTACTTGAGGATTATCATTTACCTTGAAGTACTGAGTGCCTCTCTCCTTCACAATGCAGCTTTGCTCCAGCTTCTCATCTGTGTTCATTTCCCAAGACTCCTTAGCCTACCCAAACAGGAACAGTTCAAGTCAATGATACAACTTCTGGGAAACCAAGGACTATGCAGTTACCCTGTTTCCCACTAACAGTATGGTAGATAGGCTTGACAAAACAGAGTTTTGCACTGATACTGGAAACTGGGCTGGAACAGGACAGACACCGACAGCAACAGAAAGGAATACAGTAAGAAAAGACAGTTTCTGCCACGAGTTCCCAGCGTCATCTCTGGCAACAATGGCTTCCCTATTTCAGATCAACTTTCAAGGATTCCATCATCCCTGTTTAAGCTGCACTCATACTTCCTACCCCACCGCCTAGTCTCCCTTTGGACTTCATCTCTCATTCCTACCTTTTCAAAGCTTTTGAGTTTCACTTCATACTGTAGCTCTGCATCTGGAGGGATCTGAAATTTCTCCTTCCCAGCACTTCCAAAACCATAGCTGTAAGATTGGGGGTTGGGAGAGATTAAAACAGAGAGATTGGGAAAAAAAAATTATCTCACAAGAATCTTTAATGTCTTTTTCCAAAAGGCTTTGAGAACACCAGTGTACATCATCTTCTGACAAAAGACATCTGATACTCTTTACCAATCACATCACATAAGGACTAGCTATCTGGTCACATCAGGTTGCTCAGAAGGCTCACTGGCTCTTTTCCTATTCTGAGCTGTTCTTCATGTACAACAGAAGTACCGTTTCATTAAAAAGAACCAGAAAAATGTAAGTTGAAGAGAGCGACAATATTTTAAATATTCACCAAGATCAACACTATAGAGACATAAGTAAATTTCTTTTGGAATGCTACTACTTCAACCAAGTGGCAAAGTGATCTTAGCTTCCTATTTCTCACACATCTAACTTTTGGGGCTGATCAAGTTTTTACTGAAGTATTGAAAAAAAAAAAAAAATCCGTAAAGCATTATAGCAAAACACTTCGTCTTGCCAAATACTTAGTAGATATACTAAGATATATAAGTATATACTGAAGTATCAAAAGATCAGAAACAGCATACTTGGGTTTGAGATAGAACACCGATTCCTCTGATTTCTCCATCTTTTGAATTGCTTTCTCAAGACCATGAGGAAGATCATAGTTGTCACCTTCTCCAATCTCAAACTGCAATTCCCGCCTGTCGAAAACACGATCTCCGTATCGACCTTCAAACTGGACTGGTAACAAAAAGGAGAGAAAAATTGTAATTTATCTATGTATGGTAAGGTGCAGGTAGCATAGGTGATATACGGAGTGTCAAAGCCTCCTCCTAAATGGTCTTCTCTCTTTTAACAGCCACTTATGCATGGTAGCTTCCGGAAGCAAGTAAAACTTCTGTTGCTAAACTTAATAAATCCCTTTTTTTTTCAGTTGTTCTCTCCCTCTTCATCCCCCAGCAAGTACCAGAACTACTTCCCTCTTGTTCCTCAGCAAATGGAAATACTTTATTAGACTCATCTATCTTTTGTGATCAGATAAGCACTTTATCAGATTCAGTACCTCTAGAGAACACAGCTGCTGCTGGAAAATGTAAACCTTGCTAGAAACAGGAAAATGAAAGCTTATTCTAGGTTGTTAAGTTGCCTGGCAAAAGAAAGAGAAGCCATGTATTCCTCTCGGTCAGTGCAAGGAGTTGTAAACTGGGAAAAGATTCTACCCTCCCACATGATAAACCCATTTACTATTTGTGTAACGTACTTACTCTCTACAAGTGCACCCTCATTAGGCTTGGAGTAGCCTTCCCCTTTTTTACGGATTCTTCGGATGATGCCACCATCTTCATCATCAGTGAGGTCCTCCCCCTTGAACTCAAAAAGTTCTATCTGCAGAAGGAAGAAAAGCCTTGCATTTATTCCCATTACATCAATGGGATTTGTTTTCCAGAGATCTTTGAACTGTAACCGTTCAGGAAGCCACCACCTTCATTAACATCTTATAAGATGTTACAACAGCCAGCACTATGAAGATGTTTTGCCCTCACGGCTTTTTTTCTCCAGCAATCTTCGTCTCTTGATACTACAAATTAGATCATTTCAATTAAGGGACTGTGAACCTGGCTTCTTAATAAAGCTTACATGAGCCACAATACCTAGGGACTACTGCAAAAAAACATTCTACTGCCTTTAATAGTATTTTTGCTAATGTCTGCAGGCAGAAGTATGGATAGTGGTTTTTTGGGCTTGAGGGTTCTGGGGCTTTTTGGTGTTGTTGGGTTTGTTTTTTTTTGTTTGGGGTTGTTTGTTTTTAATATGAAACAAAAAAACATTTTGAGCACATGAAGCCAGGAGGAATTTGCTCTCAAATACCACTGTGAAAGGGAACCAAAGCAGCTGTCACAACCCTCTTACTCTATGGTCAAGTACAATCACCAACACTGTCACTGCATCCAAGGAACAGGGAGGTTTGTAAGTAATGCAAGGACAAAATAAGCAAGAAAATTAAATATAAAGATGCAATCCTTATCCTTAAGTCCTGACTATACCCTAAATTCCATCTATAGTCAAATTCATATCAACTTCAAAATGCTCGGAATGGAGCCGAAACCGACTCCCAGTGCTTCTCCTGCTACATTTAAACGAATTCAAGAGCATCTTTTCAGACTTTAGCTATTCCCCACTGACTCCCCATCCCAGGTCCTGTCCTTCTATTCTGCTTTTCTCACACCTTTTGTACTGAGGCCCTGAAACTATGTCAACTACCTCCAAGCACCGCAGTTATTTTCCATTACAAAGCCATCAAACTTAACATTACTTAGAACTGATTACATTTTGTATGTACTTTTGTGCCTCCTTGTCTCACCACCCATTTCTTCACTCTCTTACTCTTGCGCCACAGAACAATCTTTTCAAAACTCTATTGCATGCCTGAACAGAGATAATGTTCACTTTCTACTCCTGTTACCTCTACCCCTCTAGTCTTGCCTTATCACTGTGTACTGTAGTATCATTTCAGAAAACAATTATTTCCAGAAGAAGGATAAAATAACAGAACCATGATCTGGCCCACATTTAATGCAAACTTGTTGCTGCAACAATGTGTCTGGAGTTTTTAAGAGATAACGATAATGTAGGAGGTAACTATGCAGCCTTAGTCTTCACATGTCCTCCCAAGTCTCTAAGGCAAATCATAGTTGAAAGTGGGAGTGCCATGACAAGATGGAAAAATAATCTAGTCACAAAGAAACTTGTTGCTGCTGTGAAATTCAGACAAAATAAATCACTAATCTTCTGCTATCCTGTGTTTGATTAAAACAGCAGTAAACAGCAGGAAAGAGCAAGCTATTATAACAGTGATTGTTTAGGCCAAGTACCTTGTTTAAAAAACAAAGTTCAGGGCTAATGACGTGGAGGTTTGTTAACACTGAACTTAAGAAACCTGGAAGGTAAAAGGAATTGAATATGCACCAGCAGAAGGAGTATCTCCACTCTCTATTTTGATGGATATCTAATAAGAAGTATTCTGGTCTTAAAAAAAAAAAAAACAAACAAAAAACAACAACAAAAAAGCCACCCCCTCCCCCCCCCCAAAAAAAAACAACCCAAAAGCAACCAACATACCCTCAACCCCCCTCACCCTCCAAAGCAAACACCACCACACAACACAAAACAACACCCCACCCCCCAAAAAAAACCCATCACAGCTTGGGTTCTTTTCTTCCTTCTCTCCCTCTAACAATACTGCTCAGGCAGACGTTTGGGGCTACAAAGGCTCATGAATAAAACACTTCATCTAAATTGTACCTGCAAGAGAGAAGTCAGACTGGCATCATTAAGAAAAACCTAGCGGGAAGTGAATAATCTAAGTGACTGTATCAGACAGTACTCTGATGAAACAAAACGTATCTTGCCCTTAGAGCATTTGTTTATCAAATGGTTAGGTGTTATCTCTTGCTGCAGAAGAACAAATAAGCCCTAAAAATGCTTTATTATGCTACAAGGGAGGTCTTGAGCTTTGAGACACTGTGCATGGACAGTAAAAGCAGAGAAGCTGAACATGTTTAATAATTGCTACACTGAAGCTCTGTTTTGTTTTTTCTTTCCCTCAACCAAACTGAAGTGAGCAGAAAAGTGACATAAAAAAACACAGAACACCAAACCAACCAAACAAATCCCCCTAAATAAACAAACAAACAAATCCCACATAAAGTTTGCATTTGAATCATGAGGTCAAAACAGTGACTATTTTAGTGTTTTTATCTCTCCGAATCACTTGCATTTGTACAAAACACACAGCGTTCCAGCATGTGTGGTTCATCCAACATAAATAAACCATGAGTATCTTCAGATTTATATATATATAAATGCTTTTTATGAACAGCTTTACAAGACATTCTTTTTCAACAGTCAACTGCAGAAATAAAAGCATTAATATTGATGTACTCAAAATAAATGAGTTCTCATCCCTTACTGGCCTGGAATACAACCTGATGGCAGTACTTTTTTCTTAATCCTTCCTCACAAAACACATCTCTAATACTATTTTGATGGATATCTATGAAATATTATTCTGGTCTTTCAAAAAAACAAACAATAAAGCCAACATCCTTCTCCCCCTAAGAACAGCCCTCCCGCCCCCCCCCCCCCCCAAAGCCCAAACCAAACCCAAAACACCCCCCCCAAAAAGAGTCACAATTACTCACAAGTGAAATGCAAAGAAAATAAATGCAAATAGACTATCCAAGTTTAATACAAATACAATATCCAACTATGTTTAATTTACCCTTAACAGATGCTCATCGTTTCCATCAAAGTTTAAATAAGCTTTCAGTCCCTACTCCATGACTTATTTTTCAGATATTAAATAAAACATCCAATCTTACAGCAATGAAGTAATTTTAGAAATCGTACTTAAAAAGTGTACATCTGCCTTCTCTCAAGTGAGAAACTGAACTGTTTCAATAATAAGAAAAATATATCCTCCCAAAACACTGGACTGTCGGAGCATGCTCCAGAAACAGCTTTCATATCATCCCCTATGGAGAGAAAAAAGTCTCAGCATTCTGCGAAACCACTCCCACTACTGAAATAATACACAAGAGAGCTGCCATTTCCACCCTCTTTTGGGAGGGTGAGGTGAAAGAGGGGGAGGATGCTTTAAAGATCAATGGGAAACAAATTCTGTCCTCTGCTGGTGGCATTAAGAAACACCCAAGCTCACCAAGACCGGAAGTTCACCAAGGAGACCAACGGACCATGGGAACAGCGTTACCCAAACACCAAATTCAAGATTGATGAATCTGTCACAGGACCAAGTGTGTACAAATGACTTCCTATCATGATAGGACTGATCTGTAACCCGGATCCACAGACAGACTTTGCTACTCAACAGGCAACCTGAATCCATACTGGTTTTGGGGTGCTTTAAGGCTTATTAATAATATGCTCAGCTCTATAGAAAACAGTTCAGTTTCACGGCCGCTCAAATACACTATATTCTAACAGTTTATATGAGGCAACTATCGCTTTCTCCCTCAAACAGCTCATATAAGATTGTGTTAACTTTGCAAAGAAAACACAAAAGACTATGAAAAATACATTGCTAAGGACATTAATTGCTCTTTCTGTTGCTGAAAACTTTATAATGCTAAGTATTATTACTTTGAGTCTTACGAAGTGGAATTCAAGGTTTTCATTTTTTTCAACTATTCCAGAGTCCACCATTGAGACTATATCCAAAAATCCTGTTTGAAAGGGTATCACATCGTGTATTTTCTACATGATGTAATATCTTATTTCTACAGTGAAATAAGATTTTTCAAGCATACAGTTTTAATAACCATTCTCACTTACCTCAAAGATCAGTGTAGCGTTGGGAGGTATCTTTGGGGGGCTCCCAGCTGAGCCATAGGCATATTCTGGTTTACATGTAATCCGACAGATTTCACCAACTTTCATAGTCGCCACAGCAATGTCCCATGCTTTGATCACTTCACCTATGCAAGTCAAATTTCAATCACATGATTGCTAGGCATAAAGGCACAACCAGCTGTTAAACTGAGCATCACCACTTCCAGCATACAAAAGCTAAGACAGCAGAAATACTGAAAGGCCTGTGTTTTCTCCAATTTCTGTACATCAGTTTTAATCTTAATCCAATTACAGTTATCCTGGGACCCAGACTCAGCTAAATTCCTTCACTATAGGTGCAGTGACTGATTCTTCTCCTCCCCTTACTTCCTCGCCTATAGTCATCTGAACAGATACGGGCTGAAGTGCCTGGCACAATCTCAAGTGTGAGGAAATAACAGTAACTCTCTGAAGAGGCAGGTCTTAGGGTGAGAGATTGCCTGCCTGTATTTTGAAAGCAATCCAAAGAGCATTTTCTCTCTGTACTTTTATCAGTTGGCAAAGAGCAGCACGAGTGGTTACTAAAAGTTACATGCCCTTGTAACAGAATGGGGGAGAAAAGCAGGACAAGTAGTATTCTTTCTAAAGCTAAAGTGAACAGAAGCTGGAACCTCAAGTAACAAAATCCTATCTCTAAACTCAAGCTCTTCTGCTTGCGGCTCCTTTCAACTCAATCAAGCATTCTTTCTATCAGTCTTGTATTAAGAGGTACACTTCATGTCATCTCAAATTCAAGTACACTGCAGAATTTATCTCCTAAATGAAAAAGCAGCAAGTAATGAACTGTGAGGGAAAAAAAAAAAAATTGGAGTGGCAAGATCTGCTATAACAAGGATGTTCAGATTTTTTAATTAAAAAAAAAACCAAAAAAAAACGAAGTCTTTTGACAATGAAGAGAGGCATTGCTTCAAGATTCACCTTTGGGTTAATTTAGGAACTTAGGGGAAAAGAGATTATGTTTCATCACACTGCAGCTGACAGCTGCCCCCATGCACCCTGGCCCAGTATCTAGTCACAATCAAGTACTTCTGAATGCAAGTCTTTGGCAAAAATCAAGAAAATGCACTTCCTGGCTATTTGACTACCCTTTATCACTGTGCTTTAGGGCAAATTTGCTCCCCTGGAGCAATCTGAGGCCGACTAATTCTTCAGCAGGCTTCAATGAAGGGGCTACAGTTTTCTCATTCAGAAAAAACCTCTAAATTGCTCCAAATGGGTCACTCTAAGAGAATAAACCATAAGCTTCTGAAAACAAGTTTAAACAGCAACTTTAACATGCATGGAAATCCCATCTTAATTATTACCAAAACTGAGCAATATCAAGCACAAGATATTACCTTTGCCCAAGTCAAATGAGAATTTGTCTCTCCTGTCCAGACTGGAGTCAAATTTTGTGCCATCAAGAAGCCATCCTGTGTAATGGACGGTCACTTTATCACCAATCATAGGAGACTCTGTCCCACTGCCTTCTTTCTTGACAACCTAAGAAAAACACACAATTCTATGAGCATGAAAACTAACACTGCTTATTAGACACTAATTCCATCAATTTAGATGCGTTAAGTTACCCTTAGTAGATAACAAATTTACAGGTTTTCTTCAGTTATCTGGAAATGGATTGACTACTCTGTCTGCAGATCAGCAGTGCTGCAAATGCAGAAATCTCAAGATGGCTCTTGCTGTCATGAGAACTTAACTGGCATCAGTTGGCACCGGCTTACAGATCTCTGCATCTATAGTTAGCAATGTCACTTACCCTTCCTCAACGAGATTTTTCATGTTCCAGGTATACCATTATGCTTTATTTAAGTACCTTCTTCACTAAAACTCTATCGCCACCCCCGAGTTCGGCACTCTAGGCAAAGCATTTAAACCAGAAAATGAACTGTTTCTTTCCATGTAGTATATTCTAACACATGATCTGAGATTACCCGAGTTAAACCAGCCAGTTTAACAAAGATTAACAGAATCTCACCCTAACAAAGATCAGTTCAATCAGTCAACACAGTAACACTTCGGGATTATTATGTGGCGTTAATTTTGTCTCCCACGAACTCTGGCACAAATTGCTAGCACCACGATTTCACATACAGCTGCAAAGATTTGATTTTCTTCTCAAGAGATTCCCCAGCTTACCTAGTAAGACTAGTATCAACTAAACCTGGTATACAAAAATCAAGATTGGCCAATCTTTCTGGTGTTCATCTGAAATATATATAAAAATAGATAAGAATACTGACATATCACACAGAGCAAGAATATGAAGCCTTGCCTGTAACAGGACAAATTTGAGTTTTCCCCAATACTGACTGAAACCATCTAGCTCTGAGCCAAAGCTGTGCATTACTTCAGCTAGGCAAAAGAGACCCAACAGAGGACTGTAATTGCTTGCATCTATGGAGTTCATAAAGATAAACATTTATTCAAGGAGAGTCATCTAGAAGCATAGACTGGTGTCCCTCTTTTAAAGAAAAGCTACAAAAAAGCCATGCTACTGTACCAATCATGTTTCTCACTGAAGGAAGCAGCCCCCAGGGAGCCTCCTTCCCAAATTTCAAGTACTTGCAACTAACCAAGTCTCTTACTTTGCCTCCCACCAGCCCTGCAATTGACTATGTGATTGAAAACATCAACACCCTCCACCCAAAGCTGAGGCAAGGACAGCTCCTGTCAGACTCAAGCTGGAGGCATCTCACTGCAAACACAGAAAAGGGAAAAAAAAAAAAAGAAAAAATAGAACTGTTCCAAACTAGTGATTTTAAAGGAGTCAGTCTGAAGTCACTCTGAAATAACCACATTTAATACTAAGCTTTTCACATCATATTCTAGAAGTGACACAGAAAGTCAGCCAACATGAAAGCAATGAGTATCTCATTTTCTGTATTTACACAATATTCACCTTTTGCATTTGTTTCATTTTTAAGAGACTCAAATTCCACTTTTTTCATACACTGAATATAGCAACCCTCTTTTTCATAAGGTTTACATTTCCCTTTCTGGTGAAAATCCCCCATTCTTCTGTTCACATTGTGTTTGCAAATGTTTCTAAACTTAAATGCTTACACTAGACACAGTGCAAGCACATTCATCAATACCATGTAAAAATCCCTGGATACTATTCTGATACAAAGCTAATAAATTTAAAAAATCCCGAAACCCTCCTGGAATGAATGCAATGATACCAGTCAAAACTGGGTGCAGATTAGTTCAGAGTTAGACCTTTGATTTCAATGGGTGTATTCTGCTTTCTGGCAATTTCTAGAAAAATCCATGAAGGCTGCTCTTCAGGATCTTTCCCATCTTTTGCCTTATCAATTCACAATCTCGCCTCTTCTGAGGTTCTCACAACCTCGGTTCTTCTGCATGTATTTTCTCCTCCCCTCCTTTTTAAAAGGAGAAACTTATCACCTACTGCTTCTCCATCATCAGAAGGTGGGTACTGCATGGAGTACGGCTGACAGTGCCTTTTACCATGCTCACGGCTCTGAGCTGCAGGACAGCGGCATTCCTGGTCAGCCATGCCAATGAGAACTCTAACCTGACACTGTGCTACATGGAAAAAATAGACACTTATCAAAGCACATTAGCAGGAAACATGGGAAAGCAGAGTATCCCCAGTTTGGTCGCCGATATCCCTGGGAGGCAGCACCACTACGGCAAACCCGGAATTTTAAGTTCGGGGGTTCCAAAGATTAAATCCTGAATTTTGCCTTTGCTGTGGTCTGCTTTTCTTTTTTCGAACACTGTAACCCGAAATTTCACTGCGATTAAAAAACGCTTCTAGTGATCGTTACCATTTAAAAGACTAAAGAAGCTTCCAGAGATATGGAAATAGGAACTATCTGACAGAGAGGGTTAGTGCAACTCCCCCTCACGGTATTAATTCTGCTACCCATATCAACCGACTTCTCAGTACAAAAGAAGCCAGTCTAGCGGCATCCTGGATACGCGGCACAAACTGCGCCCGCAACCAGCCCTACCGACCTCACCTGCAACTTCCTAAGGGCTCAATTCCCCCGAAAACTGAACCAAGGGTCAGCCTTTCCGGCTCCTGCCGCCGGGGTGCACTTCCATCAGGCCCCCGCATATAACGCGGCACCTCAGCTCTCAGGCACCGCTCGTACCAAAATGGAGAAGCCCCATTTTCGGCGCCTGAGACGCAGGCAGCACGGCCCGGCGCCAGCTAAGCACGATACGAAACACACGTGCGCTGCCCAGGCACCATCTTTAACTCTTAGCCCCCGAACACGTGCGGGGACGGTGGTGGTGGGGCTCGGGGCCCCCAAAACCAGCAGTGCGGGAACAGCCGCGGGCCCGGCCCGGCCCGGCCGGGGAGACACCTGGAGGCAAAGCCTCTCCCCCGCCTCAGCCCGCCGCGACCCGGGGCTCCCCGGCGGGCAGCGCGGGAAGGTCCTTCCGACAGCCCCGCGTGGGAACCCCCGCGGGCCGGCAGCGCCTGGGCGGCAGAGGCAGCCTCCCCATCTCCCCCCCGCCGCTTATACTGAATCGCTGGGGCCGCCAGACAGCGGTCAGCTCAGTAACGGCCTGGTTCTCGTCCCCTCAGCGGGCAGGGCCTCCGGGGAGCTTCCGCTCTCCCGCCGGTGCGCGGTCCCGAAGCGGGGAGCAGCCGCCCGGTACCTTGAGGACTCCCTCATCCTGCTTGGGGGTGATGTCTGTCCCTTCCAAGGGTGCCCCGTCCGCTTTCGTCTCCTCCGCCGTCATCGCGCCTGCCGCTGCCACCGCTGCGCCTGGAAGGGCCGCCTCACGGGGTCGGGGTTGGCACCGGCCTCCCCCCGCGCTGTCGCTACCGCGTCGCTGTGCCTCCGGCTCCGAGCAGCGCGGGCAAGCACCGCGCCCCTCCTTCCCTCCTGCCTTCGCCGCAGCGCCGGCCCCCGGTCGAGGGGGGAGGAGGAAGGGGAGGGGAGGAGGAGGGACGGACCGAGAAGTTTCTAGAGAGGCAGCTGGGCTGCCACAAAGCGCCCGGCAGTGCCAGGGGGCGGGCAGGAAGTGTATGTTGCCCTTGGGGACAGATACGCCATCGCCGCGGTGTCTGTGAAAGGGGAAATGGCGAGTAAGGGGCATTTTCTTCACTAGAGAAGAGAGGGTGGGCGCGCTTTCACAGCGCTGGCTGCGCTTAACTCAGAGCAGCCTTCCTCAGTGTTAGCAGTCCTTTGCTGATGCATGGGCTCGTTTTTTCATCCACCGCACGCTTGTGGATGATTACGTAGAACAGACGCAGAAACAGGCATGGAAGCAACGTGTCATGAAGCTTGGGAAGCTCGGGCATCCCCTGGCTTGCAGGGCTGGGGATCCTGCTAGAAACCGTGTGTTTAAAAACGGTTGGTTACTCCGGACCAGGAAAAGTGAAGACATGCTCAGGGCACGGAGCGTGAGCTCCACCAGGGTAAGTAACACCATTTCGTGCCTTGACCTGCTGGTGCAGGATTTGGGTATCCATTAGTAGAGAGATGCTACTTCTGAATGTGAAGAGCATTAGTGCAAGCATAGAGGAATTAGCAGGCCAGATTCTGTCTGGGGTTACTCAGCATCTGTACAAATCTCACAGGTTGTAAGCTACTTTGGGCCAAGTAGTTTCCAACTTCAAGTGATGCAGAATCAGACCAGGACCTTGCCCATTATTTCGGACATAACAAAGTAGTATTACAGGCGTTCCATCTCCCACTGCAATCCATTAACACTGGCTCCCCGCATCAGGCGGCGCCTTTCCGGCCCTTCTTGAACTTCTCTTTCATCCGTTTTCTCGACAGATCCTGAGCAGGCAGGCTCACAGCGGTCCCTTTGCCTGCCGCAGTCGCTCACCGCATCGTCGGGTCTAAAACCACAAAAGCTGGCGCTGCGGAACAGCGGATGTACCGCACACCCCCCCTGCCGCTGGCAGAGGACAGAACAGATGGCTGCTGATGCGTCTTTTGCTTCTGCAACTTCGGTGTGATGTTTGAGCCTTCGGTTACAAAGCCGGTCACTGTAGGCAAAAGGGAAGAGGCTCACAGGCTTGTGGGTAGTGTTCCAGAGTTGCGTTTCTGCTGTCTTAAGGCAATGCAGACCTCTAAGTTCAGAAGGGGTCCGTGGAAAGGCTGCAGAAAGCTTGGCGGCAGTATGTGAGATAGCTCTGCGAGCGTGTGTGTTACATCTGTCCTGACTCTGCATGCAACCTGGAGTTCTTCTGTGCCATTATAAAGCTGCATCTGTGCTCGGTGCACAATGACTACAGCAGTCTCAGGTGGGTTCTGCTGATGACAAAGGAAAGCAGTAGCAGAAGAGCCTGAATAAAGAATCTGTAGTTACTTTAGCAAGTGGGTGTAAACTGCGAAATCTGCAGGTTTCCCCTGAAAATGAGCACACTTTTCAACCCCAAGCAAACATACGCTTTAGTGCACTTTCAAACTGAGTAAGTTGGGGAAGGTGGAGAGGCAAAAAAACAGTTGTGGTTTCTGGGTGCATTTAGTCTAGAAGCTTCTACTGCTGTCAATTTGCAATTTAACATGGATGATTTACCTGGTTACAGGTTAAATCTGTAGGTGGTATAGAGCTGGTTCTGTGCATAGACCCTAATATACTGAGGAACACAAAAGCACCTAAGCTGGCTCTGCTCCAGCAAGTCTTGTTAGGGAAGGCATAGCAAAAACATGAGATACTTCTTTATCTGTCCCCTGACTAATGAATCTGTATGGTACTGAATTTACATTCTCCAGTGTCAGCACTAACACACAAGTTCTCTGCACTCCCAATATGTCAAATCTGACCTCTCTTTTCACCTAGATTCTCTAATAAACCAACTATATCATAGAATCATAGAACGGTTTGGGTTGGAAAGGACATTAAGATCATCTAGTTCCACCTCCCCTGCCATGGGCCAGGGACACCTCGCACTAAACCATGTCACTGAAGGCTCTGTCCAACCTGGCCTTGAACACCTCCAGGGATGGAACATTCACCAGTTCTTTGGGCAACCCATTCCAGTGCCTCACCACCCTCACAGTGAAGAACTTCTTCCTTATTATCTAACCTGGACTTCCCTGTTTAAACCTGTCACCACTTGTCCTATCACTACAGTCCCTGGGGAAGAGTCCTTCTCCAGCATCCTCAGGTACTGGAATGATGCTCTGAGGTCTCCATGCAAACTATGTTTTGGTTTCAGTAAGATTTTTCTGGTCATCTGCTTTATGGTTGGCAATGAAGTTTCTGTTTCAGACTAGTACTTTTTCAGTTAAATACTTAATAATCCAGCATTTAAAAATTGCAGTTTGTAGAAATGTCTCTAAATCAGCTACAACTGGCAAACGTGCTAGAACCAAATTCAGGAAAGTAATAAATAGTGAAAAAGGAAAGGAGAGCTTTTAGTGAAGATCTCTTACAGGTTTTATGTATCTCATATTTTCAGCCATTCGCCTGTTTTTAGCACAGTAATGCAAACTCTTAGATAAGTAATTTAAACCCAGTACTGCAGGTTAAGTCCCTTAGTAACTTTTCAAGGACTGCTCAGATACTGCTTAAGGGCCTCCCTTAGGGTGCAACAGACAAAAGTTGAAAGTGGGCTGTATGTGAAGGGCTTTGTGGAGAAGGGGACAGAGACAGCAGAAAAAAGGCTGTGGATTTTATAGATGATGTCAATGCTGTAATACTTTCACAGGGGTATGTATGGGTAGAAAATAGGTTAGAAGAGTCTGCCCTGTTTTCTAAGGCTTCTTTAAAGCCTTAAAAGGCATGTTTATAGTATTGTAGCATTGCAAAGGAGCCTTAATATCATGTCAGGTTTATTTTCAGAAGATGTATAGTACAGACAACTACAGACAGTAGCTAAGCAAGGTGGTAAGAATATAAAGGAAAGATTTCAGAACTCAATGGGTACACTCAGGAGAGGTGAAAATGAGAATTTTGGCAATAGCTTTCAGGCAGAGCAAAAGGACAAGTGAGGTGATTGCCTGAAAAATCAGAGAATAGCTTGGGTGTTAAATGTCCTGAAAACCAAAGGAATTGCACCAAGAATCTTCAACATCTTCCCAGGACATGAAGGCTATCCAAAACTGGTCGGCAACATGCTGTATTTATGAACAGGTTTAAATAAAGTTGCTGGAGATAGCAAGGTTTGAACATAAAACACAGAAAGATGATGTAGGGCAATGCAGCTCAGCTGTAGCTTTGTTGGCAGGTCCTACACAGGCAGGAGCAGAACTCAGGGTGGCCTAGCCCATCAAGAAGGAAAGACCTTTGGGGTCAGCTGTCAAAGGGTCAACTTTTCAGATATGTCATAGGTCAAGTCACTGGACTGTGTAGGTTGACCAAAGCCCTGCCATGACAGGCTGTGGCTAGGAGTTTCACTTGCCCAGTTGTGTGGATCAAGCTGGCACCACAGACTCCCACAAAGATCGATAAGAGGAATACAAGTCTGTGCAAGCTCAAAGATAACAATATGAGATAACAAGTCACAGAATAACCAAAAAGGGAATAACCCTGAATATTAATTTCTGATTGGAACACAAATTGAGCCCAACTCATCATGAGCACTGGGCTCATGCTTGATTGGCTTGAAAGGGATGAGAATGAGGCATAAGAAAGGAATATAGACAGAAGCCATTACACTCTGCCGAATCAGACTAGCTGCCCACTGGCAGATGGACCAACAGCACAGCCATGAGCAGGAGCACCCCTGATGCCAGCTGCCAGGGAAGACGCAATTTGACACAGTGTGGCTCGAGTCTGGTGAGGACATGCTCAAAGCCAGATTGGACAGAGGGAGCAATGTTAAGTTTATGTGACTTCCATATTATTTTGTTGCAGTAAGCAGTGCTTTCCTTGAAGTTCACAGTAGGGTGCAAGCCTTCATCAGTCTAATCCTATGCTGTTAGTTTGTGTGACATGTCTGTGACAGGCCAATAAGGATGTAACTGTTGCCCACTGCCTGAGTTACACCCTGCCTGTTCATTCCCAGCTTCAGTGGGCTGTCCCAGAATCCCTGCTTTCCCTTTCTCCCCAGCAGTATATAGCAAAACAAAATCCTGTGTTGTCTTTTTAGTTTAGAAGGGGTAAAGCTGTGTGTCCTGCCCATGGCAGGGGGGTTGAAACTAGATGATCTTAAGGTCCTTTCCAACCCTAACTATTCTATGATTCTATGATTTTCCTTATATTTTGCCACATCACTGCAGACTATAGTAGACTATCATGGCCCACGTGCGAAGAGTGTTAGGTCTCTTCTGGGTTCCTTTTCAAATGAAAACAATGCTGCTACGCTCATCCCCTGCTTTAAAACCCAGCAACCTTTAGAGGGAAATGATCTGAGCTGTTACATGGCAGAATGGGGTTGGAAAAGGGCTCTGTGTCTGCAGTTCCGGGAGGTTTCTGAGCTGCTCTGCTTCTTGTTCACCAATAGATGTCAACACTTTTCTAAAACTACAGGCCACAGAACTTGCATTTAGGCAAAATCTTGTTTGGTTTGTTGTTTTTGTTTTTTTTTTATTGTTTTCTAGTAAGGTTCTGATTTGTTCTGTGCTTCTACTGCTTACTGTTATTTGGTAATCTCATTTATGTGATATGTGCTGTGCCGTTTAGATCACAGATGTAGATTTTTAAAAATACTAAACAGCAGGATTTTGTATAGACATCTGTCCATAGATGGCACAGCAGCATTTTACTAGGCTTAGAAATCAACTGACCAATTCTCTTGCATTTTTAATAAAAAGGTACTTCTTTTTTTCTAATAACTAAATGCTGTGGTGGTTAAAAAAAATAAGAAATTCCTTTGGTAATTGCTTTCTTGACCCAATTTTAGAGTTGTCATTAATTTACAACCTAGTTTACTTCTTCTTTGGCTCTATTTCCCTTTACTGTATTTAGCTTTGTTTCTTTGACTTTTGTTATATAACGTTAGAAATGCTTTTTTTGGTGT